GTACTCAACAAATAAATCTTATCTTCTAGTGACTAACTTTATTTTCCCAAAACATTCAAAATTCAATGCATTTACTGTTCTCTATAGTAGCTCTAAAGTTAAAAAACAGAAAATAGAAACAATTGATCAGAAAACTAGCATAGATCTATTGTTTTCTTATTATTTTTATTATTATTATTGCTGTTATGGTTGCTTTTATGTTTAATTTAATTATATAATCTTATTGTTGGTTGGTTAGCTGGTTAGTTGGTTGTTTCGTTGCCAAGCTCCTTTTTATTAACTTTTACGTATACCTATATATATGTGTCCGGTTGTATATTGTAGTATGCCAGAGTTTTTGAAATTCATATTGTATCGTATTATTATAATATTGTTGCTGTTATTATGATGTTACGAATGCAACTTCACCAATGTCCATTGATATGCTTGAACTATTACGAGTTCGTTCACTTTAGGTCAGTAAACAAGAGTGAGGATTGATGATCTGAGTGTCCCAAACCTCCATTGAATAGAAGAAGAAGAAGAAGAAGACTTGATATGAAGTAGAATGTGTATTCTACAAATATCCAGAAAGTATGAGGTTCGAGTTCAGAAGAAGCTAAGTATCTCGGACTAGGGATCCTGGTCCAGATCATAAAATGTTACAGATAATGTATATTTATACAGTTAGGTCGAATAAGAAAGAACATTGATGAAGTATGTGACATTGATAGTTAAGGAACAACCAATAGAATTAGACTTACAAATAATCCTCTTAGGATATTTAGTGAATATTCTAATCTATGATTAAACCTACTGTGTAATTACTTCGATCAGTTTTTCTTAATACTATTTTGATGTTAAAAGAAAAATTAGTTGAATGAATTTATCGTGTTCCTGTTGTCTCTGATCAATAAATGTGTGCTTTTTGTGAAAACTTGAAAGCATTGGAACGCCATTTTGGTAGGTCGCAACGAAGATCTCCCAAACTGAAATCGAACCCGAGGACATTCGGTCTCATGCGCAAACGCTTAACCTGTTGACTGCTGACCCGACATGATAATGTCTAAATTCAGTCAGTCCTCAAACCTATAATAATATTTATATGGAGTTCTTGAAATTTGAGCGTAAAATAATCTGTTAATATTCAAATGGTAGCATGTTAGGATATTATTGTATTGCTATCTTTGCATACGCATCAATAGTCATCAGTCTTCTAAATACAGTTGTCTTTCATAAGCAGCATAATGTAACTATAAATACAGTAAGAAAGTAACCTAACTTACATTGTCATAAAAGCTTTGGAATTGTAAATGATGCCAAAGGATGTCAACTGTTAGAAATTAGTATTTTCTTCAGTAGAAAGAACTGAAATATCACGTCATGATTATTTTATCACAAATTATTGATTTTCAATAATCAGTGATCAGTTTTTTAAAAGGATTGTTATACTCCATTTAGAATGACTAAAATGTGTTTATTACTTTGAATTATCATTCTAAACTTGATATTTCGATTGATAAACATAATATATATAACATCTGATCAGAGTAGCTCTAGAGATTTTTTTGAAATAACTAATCGTTACAAATAATAATAGTCGATTGTTAATAATTTATATGGCAAAATCTATGGAGGTCTTCAATAAGCTTTTCTAAATAAATTAGAAACGAAAAGAAACATATCTATATGATCGTAGAATATCAATTATTATATATAAATTTACCCTGTATTGTCTAGGGCAATTTTCCATTGGTTTTCAGGAGAACCATAGAGACTGGACACGTTTTACCATTACTACATGAACAGTTCGGCTCATTCCTGTGGTGCAACCACACAGGTACCTGATACCCTGATGGACCATTCACACCGTTTCATATACACACAATGGTATAGATATTTCCGATCAATGATCGCGTCAATCAACATGCACCGCATGAACAGGCCATTTCGACCCATCCCGCTTACATGACTGTCAAACTCATTATTATTAGCAATGGTGATATGTAATACAGCACCCCGATGACAATGGCCCTCGGAAATGTCGCAAAACAACCACCTATATCAATGAAATCGGTCACCCTGCTAACCAATTTTGTATATGGACTGTTAATGCTTACCAAAGCAAAGCAAAGCCATCCACAAAATTCACAACGAACCTCTAGTCTCATAGGAGACCTTCAGCTCTATATAGCAGTATAGCATATGGTGTACACATATATGGCGCAAGATAGTAGAAGAGGCAGCCCAGCTTGATGCAGATAGGCCCAAACACTTCTATTACCCTTTGTCTCATGTCGGGCAATGATTTTTTTCGCGTTTCCGAAATTTTCATTTTTCGACCATATGAGACCTGAGTTACGGGTAGTATCCCTTGTAGAATATTTGCCTTCTTGAACCCTTTTGTGGATCGAAATAAGGTTACAGTAGTCCAGGAATTGTTGCTAATCAAGTTTCAATGTTAAGTTTAAGATATTGATTTCCTTTGTGTACGTAGTCTACAACGAAAGGATGAAACATTTAATATATATTTAATATTTAACACTATTACGCTATAATAAGCAGATTGTCGAGATCGTTGAATTTATAGTTTCATGGCATGAATTGACTTCTGTTGAACAACCACCACATTAAAAGCTGAATTGTTCCTATGCAATCAAGCCGATTTGAAGAAGTTTGTTGTACCATTTTCCTAAACTCGTTTAATACCATTATGTTGTAGCTCCATAATTATTGGCTTACTAATTCTAAATTACTTACTTACTTACTCCTGTTACCCCAAATGGGAGGGAGCATAGGCTGCCGATCAGTAACCTACTCTGTTCTGGCCTTTATTATTTATTATTATTATTATTATTTTATTTTTTTTACACATTTGAACTCGTCAATCAATCATTATTAGACCACCATTAGAGACCTGGAAGCACTGAACGGCCGTTCCGTCCTGGTATGGAACTCATCAGTGGCAGTGCGCATCCTCGACTCCTGCTCCCCGCAGGATTCGAACCCGGGACTTTTGGCATTGTAGGCGAACGCCTTACCATCGGACCACTGGACCGGCATCCAACGGTGTTAATGTGTAACTCTGATTGATCTAGGGATTCTTTTCATGTCTGTCTCCATTTCTCATCGTAATCTGTTCCTTGGCCTTTCTTTTTCAAAACGCAAACCAGAAAAATTAAAACTCTAAATTATTAAATGTCAATAAATCATGGTTCAAGTTAAGCAATAAGTCACTAAGTATCTTAGTATTGTTTCTTATTGAAATTATATAATTGCCTATGATGTATTTCTTTACTTTTTCATGTTTATTCTAGTGTGTTAAGTACATTAGTGTGTTTTCTGTACAGTCAATATATCTCTCGTGGTGAGTCCGGACTAAATGATTTATTGTCATTCTATTTTTTAATATTGCAACAATAAAATTTTTGAATCGTTTGTATTTTGTCTTTTTTTTCTAATATTCTTCAATATGTATATATATGTTACATAATCCTTTCAACGTTTAGAAACTAATTTGACCTGCTTCAAAATGGGCCAGTACAAAAGATCACGACTGTTTTAATTCATCTATGTTGGAATTGAAAAGATAGTCAACACCAGTGACAGTGATTATTCATCACACTCTGAAAGCTATTGAAGTTGTAAATATAGACCACCAAAATCCTAATCCATTAACTATATAACGATGAAACTGTGTACCTGAACCTGGCTAATCATCTCAACGGATGAAGTTTCACTACTTCATCTATTGATCTGCCATTCTTACCTAGAACCCGTTTCCTAATAACAGCGTTACTCACTCAGTTGTCCCAAGATATACGACCAATGCTTCGGATACACCTATGATCGATGACTAGTAACCTATGCATATCTTCTACTCTCACTGGCCATGTTTCACAGATATAAAGTAGGACGGAGAGAACTACTGCGCAGTACACTCGTCCTTTAGTCAGCAAACGGATATCTTGCCTACACCATAAGTGACGAAGGTTGGCAAAAGCCAATCGATCCTTCTGTATCCGTGCTGAGATTTTGTCAGTCACCAGACCATCAGTACTGATGAGACCCTCCAGATATGTGAAGCGGTCTACACACTCAACTACTTCCCTCCCAATCACTAGTTCAGGTACGCAATCTTAAAGCAACATTTTGCATTTCGTGGAGGAAAAGCGCATCCCGAACATGCTTGCATTGTTGTTCAGTGTAATCAGAAGACTCTGCATTTTATCAGCGTCTTCACCAAATGGAACTAATGTCATCAGCATACTTTAAGTAAGCAAGAATATCTCCTGGTAGAAACGGGAATTATTACTCTCGTTTACTCAAAGCGAACAGATTAGAACATTCAACCCATTAAGAAGAACCAAATCCATATTTCTATTGTCACATGTTCCTAATAAAACTGATCATTTCATCTATTATTACATCATTTTCAGTTCATGAAGAATAAATACAAGTTCCATTTCAATCTGACCACCCATTTTATTTTATTTTACATTATTTCGGTATGAACTGATTTACTGTATTGGAAGTTCAGTCTCATTCTTACCCCTCATCTTTTATTATTATTATTATTATTATACATTTTTTGAAACCATGAATCGATCAATGTTAGACCACCATTAGAAACATGGATGCACTGGACGGCCGTTTCGTCCTGGCATGGGACTCATCAGTGGCAGTACGCATCCACGACTCCTGCACCCCGCAGGATTCAAACCCAGGACCTTCGGTATTGTGCGCGAGTTCTAGTGGGAAGACGTGACCAGTGAAGTTCAACTTGTTCGGATGTAGACAGTAACTACCGAAGACTGTGTATGAGGTTGCGCAACTCCGTGAATTCGATCAAGTTATACATTAACACCGTCAGCTACCGGCTTAGTGGTCTAACGGTTAGGGCGTTCGCGCCCAATATCGAAGGTCCTGGGTTCGAATCCTGTGAGGTGCAGGAGTCGTGGGTGCGCACTGCTGAGGAGTCCCATACGGCCGTCTTTCAGTGCTTCCAAGTTTCTAATAGTGGTGGTCTAACAATGATTGATTGATTCATGGTTTCAAAATAAAAATGTGTAACTTAACAATCTTCACAACAACCCCATAATGCATATTATTATAATGATCAATATATTTTTTTTTAATTTAATACTGTTTTCTAATCTTCAGGTAAATCATGTATACAATGGATAAATTTTCGTAGGATATTTTGTTTAATTTTTTGTACAAAAACAGAAACACAATTGTATATTCCAGTGGAAAATGATGCTGACGATGATAATGTTAAAATTAATGATAAAAATAATAATAATAATAACGATAATAATCATAATCATAATAATAATACTGAGACAACTAATTCATTATTTGTGGAATTTTATGAATTAACTAGTGCTCTGTCGAAATTCGGTGCTATCATGATGTATTTTTTCATATGTGACAGGTGAGTTAGGGTTGATGGAACTTTATTTTTTTTTGGTTTTCTAATTGTATTATATTTAATTTTAACTAATTAACTAACTCTCATATTGATGATGATAAGTATATATTATTTCCTAGTGAATTATTGAATATAAATCATTTCGTTCAAGACAGACTTGATTTTGACCAATTTGGTCCCGTGTGCTGTGACGGGTATGAGGGCGATTGTCACTTCCAGGCTGCTCACACCATGGAAGGTTGTTTCTTGAGGAACCTGAAAAGGAAGATAGATTAGTGTCGGTCTTAGAGACCTGGGAGTGTGACCGCAGTGCCCAACAGACAACTGCTTGAGGCCGGTCAAGCATGGCCTTTTTATGAGAATTTTTTTGAGTGTTAGCTCCGCTCTTGAAAGTCCTTAGTGGACAGCCCTTACCGCCAGAGACGGAAATCCGTGAGGCAGGGTGAGGTGTGACATTTTTATGGTTGACCTCTTCTAACCCTTCCTTCCTTATGAGAAGGCAGCATCGCTGCAGATTCTGGTTTTACGAGGGAAACACCTTACTGCTGTCACACCCCTCTGCAGTAGTCAGCAGTACGACTTCACCCTCAGACATTGAGTAGCTGCTTTCAGTCTCATCGTTATCCAATCGACCTACGTGGCATGGTAGAACCTTCAGTAAGATATGTTGCAGCCAATATAGCTCGGTTGGGTCATCACGATAGGCAAGCCCGACCACCACGTCAAGGTAGCAGCTACGGTCTTTCAAAGATAATATTCGATAAATATTTCTTGTTAATGAGAATACTTCATAGTTTTGATTATAGTTTTATGGGTTGTTCACTTGTTCATGTGTGTGAGTGTGTTTTGATGTGTGTTTTTTCATTTACTGTGCTGAGAAATTTATGATTGAAAATATCGTAAAATGTGCTCATTAGTGACTTACTAGCTTTGTGAGGAGATTCTCGAAGTTCTAGTGAGAAGACGTTCAACCCTATCGGGTGTAGGCAGTAACTACCAAAGACAAATGAGTGAGGTCGTGCAAAATCCCTAGATCAATTAGAATTAAACATTAACACCGCTGGATGCCTGCCCAGTGGTCCAGAGGTTAGACCCCGGGTTCTAATCGTGAGAGGTGAAGGAGTTGTGGATCTGCACTGCCACCGATGAGTAGTCCCATACCAGGACGAAACGGCCTTCTTTCAGTGCTTCCATGTTTCTAATGGTGGTCATCTAACAATGATTGATTGATGAATTCAAATGTGTAGATAATTTAAACAACCAATTCAAATAATCTATCAATCCATAGAAGACATTTACATGGATTTTACTCATTTTAACCTTTTGTTTTCATATTGAAATTAAAAAAGATCACCTTCTAATGTTAATTACATCATACTAAGAGTTGAAGTGGATGAACTTTATTTTATTAAAAATATAATCGTTATTTTCGTTTTCTTATCACGAGCGACTTGTTGAATTCATCAGTCCACGACTTATTATAAGGGATTTTGAAATTTTTATATCAATAACTGTTGTTCTTCTTATTCAGTTTTACCAATAGTATTCAATAATAAGTGATATTATCTGAATTGTTTTCTTGTTGGGATTCGAAACCCTTTGGCTAGACTTTTCTATTATGATCATCTTAACTCAGAAGGGAACTGATGTTTATTTCATCTTCTTCCGTTATGTATTTCATGTTAATCTATGATACGAAAAGTACATATTTTTTTATTTCCTTATGAATTTTAGTGAACATGATCATCAATCCAACTTTAACATACTAACTTAATTGGATTAATAAATTATTGGGTCTATTAACAATGACTCAGTCAGTCAGTCAGATGCAACTTAGAACTTCGTGCGTAAGTACATCAGTTCATGTCGCCATACCACATCAGCACAGAGAAGTAATTGTCAATTCAAATCCAATAGTAGTAGAGGTAGTAAAGGTATTAGGAGTAATCGGAGAGGTTAGGTAACGATGACTCCATATTACGCTTAGTGTTTAAGATGTTGAACTTTCAAATCCCACGTTTGAACCCCATTCCACTTATACGGTTTTTGGCAATCAGGTAGTATCACTAACCTGACATTTAAAATGTAATTCATACCTAAGAATCAGATGAATGAATGAATTAACAATTATTACGTCAATAATACTAATACTGTTACGCCTGCAGGTAAACATGTCAACTTGATATACTTGAACTACTACGAGTTTACCTAGACGGAAAACGAGAGCGAGGATCGAGGATCCGGTGACACGACATACTACTCAAATCCGATTATCCCAACCCCCATATTGAGAAAAAAAATAAGAAGACTTGATATGAACTCGAACCTGTATTCTACAAGCATCCAGAAAGTACGAGGTCCGAATCCAGAAGAGAAACAGGATCTCGGACTAGGGACCTTGTTCCACGTCATGGTCCTGGTCATAAAACGTTACAAATAATGCGTATTTATACATTTTGGTCGAATAGGATAAAGCATCGAAGTCTGTGACATTGACAGTTAAGACGACCTATAGGAAGCAACATTTGAAGTGACATTGATAGTCAGGACAACCAATAAGAAACAAGTTTGGAGCACGTGACACTGATATCTAGGACGAACATAAAATTGGCCAGTAGGAATTAACCGATAGGAATTGACCAATAATTCTCTTAGGATATTGGATGAATATCCTAACAAATACCAATATGCTAACGGGGTTACTAAAGCCTACACAAAACTTCACTTTATCCATAACCTGATCGATCATAACAAGAAAACTGTAAATCGATTTATTTTCCATATTTTTATTCGGAAATAATAATAACAATAACATGCCTATAGAGAGAATATTCCTGATAGTTTCGACTTTCGCACTTATTTTCCCGTATCTAAAATAAGTACCTTTAGTTACTTTGTAGTTATGATTTTTTTTATATCAGTAACTGAATTAAATTATTCTTTTTTACCTTTTACTGTTAGTATGACTAACAATCACTGTTTTGATATTGATGCCCTGATACAGCCTAGGGTGAGAAGAGTTAGGCTCCCTCTCTCGGAATGCTCGTATATATGGCCACATGTGTATAGCCACTGTCAAAGAAGTCTTATTCACCACTGAGGTATTGTTTACAAAACGTAACTCAGGTTGACAGTTACGGAGTATCCGCCTAAAAGGGTTGAAAGACCCTGATTTCCAACCAGTGATGCACATCGGCTCTAGTGACCTGAGGAAACAAATGGCTTATGAACCTACTATTGGTCACCAGCTGCCATGAGACTGCCCCTCTTAACGTTACCTCACTACCTTTTGGGTTAAACCTCTAGATTAAGGGCTCGAGGAGTGACCTCCTAAGTAAAATACCTACTTTAGTTAGGGTACCCGGCCTTCATCCTAGACCACACACACGAACTCAGTGATTTGCTTAGTGCATACAAATTTTTTGAGTGTCCCTTTGTACCATAATCATTATATGTTTCAATAAATAAATATAAAAATGTTGATATCTATTCTGTAATATTTTAGGACAATATTATTCATGAAGGCCAATAAATTTTATACAAATTTGAGCTTTATTCTACCAATTATCTATTGTTTCGTGTTAGGTCTATTCTTTAGTGGACCAACTAAACGAGTAAGTTTTTTTCCTTCTTAATTATCATCTCTACATAAAGTTTAAAAATAACTTTTTTAAATGATAATTTAACATGCATTTATGCATTGAATATGTATTACACACATACTGTCTATCTATTCAATGTAATATTTGCTTCATTTTCTCTATGTGAAATAAAGATTGTTTTATTGGGGATCCTTAAAAAAAAAAGTATGACAATAATTGAATCCTTGGTTTGATCAATTTTTGCAGTGATAAACAGTAATTGATGCGTGAATGGTTAGAATATACTTTATATGTGAATGTGATATTACTACAATATAAAGCCTTGAACTGATGAACAATTTTTCCTCTCAGCTTTTATGCTTCTCACGTTTTCATTGTATGCCAAATTAAATGTAGCTGACATAATTCTTTTTTGTAGTGAATCAATTATCAGCATGATGAAGTCTATTTCTTTTGCATGTATGTATGTGTATTCAAGGTGTAACTAACTATTTAGAACATTTCTTTTACCAGTTCATTAGTTATCTTTCATCTGTATAATTCACTCACTAAAATTTCTAAATCAGTTCAACTAGTATGATTATTTTTCTAACCAAGTATACATATGTTATAATGCTGCTACGTATAGCTAGATATTCAGTCCTAGCGGCGTCCAAATTCAAATATTCCAGTACGACCCAAATACTATTTCCAAATCTCCTATATATCAGAACGCAACACCGTTGGATGGAGTTGTTTATTGGGTCGAGTACAGAAGAGAGGTAGGCAGGAAAAAACGGAATCATGAAGTCTTACAGTGATAGTGCATATTTATACATTGAAGTCGAATAGGAAAGGGCATCAAAGTCTGTGACATTGACAGTTTAGGACGACAACCAATAGGAAAGAACATTTGATATGACATTGACAGTCCGGATGACCAATAAGAGACAATATTGAAGTATTTGACTTTGACAGTTAAAACGACCATAATTTTGACCAATAGGATTATACTTCCAAAATATTTTTGGATATTTGGTGAATATCCTAACAACATATATAAGATCCACATTTTTGAAACCGTGAATCGATCAATGTTAGACCACCATTAGAAACCTGGAAGCACTGAAAGACGGCCGTTTCGTCCTGGTATGGGACTTATCAGTGGCAGTGCGCATCCACGACTCCTGCAGCCCGCAGGATTCGAACCCAGGACCTTCGGTATTGTGCGCCGTCCAGTGCTTCCAAGTTTCTAATAGTGGTGGTCTAACATTGATCGATTCATGGTTTCAAAAATGTGTAACTTAACAATCTTCACAACCCCGTAATGCAAATATAAGATTATTGAATTTAAAGAGATTTGTATTCGTGCTAAGAACTAAACATTTTGTAGTTTGAATTTTCTCGTATTTATTATGATCATTATTTAAATCTTTATTTATGATAGTATATGAATGTATATAGTTAATAATATTCACAACTATTCAATGCAAACACATCGAAAATAGATAACTTCATCGCAGTTGGAAAATAGACACGCCTTCCAAAAATTTCGAGTAATAATAATGGGAAAGCATAATGAAATTAGTAAAACTAAGTTGATAATTTAGAAAGAAAACATTAATAAAATAAGATGTATTCGTGTTTTTGTTTTGAATGAAGTTTGGTTCCTCTGAGCTGGATGGTTTTTTAATTGTGTTGCTTCTATCGCCCTCCTAGACAACATTCGGATTACTTCACCTGTAACTAATAGTTTTTCCTGTTTATCATGATTGAAAATCATGATTATTAACATTTTTTTGTGTCCTGTCACTGTTGGTATATTTATCTTGATTGTCCTCTTGTTTGACCTAATTCTTGATCTTCTATTCGTTCATGTATTTCGATCATGCTGATCGAATTTGATACATTTAACCTGACATGACTACTGAGCTTCTGAAAATTCTCTTATCTTTTCATACTTTCTACACGAAATTTCAATATTTTCACAGTTGATCACGTGTCCACAATATATATATATATATATATATATATATATATATATATATATATGTTAAAATATGATAACTGACCTTAAATGCTTCGGTTCTGTCCGGCACATAATCTTGTTTGACTAACTATGGTAAAATAATGTTACATATTTGCTATGACAGACTAATCTGTTGATGTATATATATATATATATATATATATATATATATATATATATATATATATATATACTTACTGTTGGCACTCATTTATTCCGACTGCTCTCAATCCCTGATTGTCCCAATTTATAAGAAAAGGCAGCGGCGATCGGCAACAGTAGACAACTTTTCCGCCTTATTAAAGAAACTGGAATTAGGAATCCTAGTGTAAGTGAGACTATCTCAGAAAATGACGGGACTATTATTTATTCTCAATCCAGGAGACTGGATCGATGGGCAGAACACTTTAGGGATCAGTTCAACTGGCCTCGAGCCACTCTTCAGTTACCCACGATCTCCAGTCATCCTGAATGGCAAATCGACCTAAGTCCCCCTAGTCTTAATGAAGTTGAAAAAGCGTTAAGAAATCAGAAACGAGGACGAGCTGCAGGTCCTGATAGACTGACCCCTGAGATATTTAAGGATGGTGGTCCAGTTTTAGCAGCTAGATTGACTGAGATCTTAGGTAGAATCTGGGAACTGGACGTAATCCCATCCGACTGGTCTCAATCACTGATTGTCCCAATCTATAAGAAAGGACAAAAGTCTTCTTGTGACAATCACAGGGGAATCAGTCTAACTAATATAGTTTCTAAATTGTTAGCCTCGATTATTCTTAGACGCCTTACTAGTGCTCATGATGAGCAGACTAGAGAAAACCAGTCTGGTTTTCGACTTGCACGCGGCTGTATAGACCACATCTTCACACTACGACAGGTCCTGGAACACAGACACACATTTATGCGTCCTACAATAGTTGTCTTCCTGGACCTTAAGGCGGCGTTCAACTCGGTGGATCGTGAGGTTCTATGGCAGTGTCTGTCATTGAAAGGTGTACCAAATAAGTACATCAACCTTATAGAAGCTCCCTACTCTAAAACTACTGGTTGGGTGAGAGCTTATGATATACTGTCATCGGAATTCGTTACTTTAAGTGGTGTCCGTCAGGGATGTCCACTCTCTTCATTCTTGCTTAATTTTATCATAGACATGCTCCTAGAAATAACCTTATCCTCATCTGAATTTTCTGGAGTAGACCTATTACCAGGAGGCTCGCTTATTGACTTAGAATATGCCGATGACATAGTCCTACTTGGTGAAGATGCTGACAAAATGCAGAGTCTTCTGATTACCCTAAGCAACAATGTAAGCATGTTCGGGATGCGGTTTTCCCCCTCGAAATGCAAAATGTTGCTTCAAGACTGGGTTGCATCGGCACCTGAACTAGTGATAGGGAGTGAAGTAGTTGAGTGTGTTGATCACTTCACTTATCTTGGGAGTCTCATCAGTGCTGATGGCCTGGTTTGTGGCGAAATCTCAGCACGAATACAGAAGGCTCGATTGGCTTTTGCCAACCTGCATCACCTATGGCGCAGGCGAGATGTCCGCTTGCTAACCAAAGGACGAGTGTACTGTTCAGCAGTTCGCTCCGTCCTACTATTCGGATTCGAAACATGGCCGTTAAAAGTAGAGGACATTCGTAGGTTACTAGTCTTCGATCATCGGTGTCTCCGAAGCATTGGTCGTTTATCCTGGGACAGCCGTATAAGTAATGCTGTCGTTAGGAAATGAGTTCTAGGTACGAATGGCAAATCAATAGATGAAGTAATGAAACTTCATCAGTTGAGATGGTTGGGACATGTGTTACGAATGGCTAACCACCGACTGCCTTGACGAGCTATGTTTTGCAGTGTAGGAGAGTAAGCTGGAAGAAGGTTAGTGGCGGCCAAACCGAAACATGGCAGAAATGCATGAAGTCACTGACAAGTGGACTGATTCATGTTGTTAGATGTAAGCTATCTGGTTGGGGTCCGCGCGACGAAAGTCACCGATGTTTAGAGACCTTGAACGACATGCCTCAGAATCGTTTGCAATGGCGCAGGTGCATCTACTCTTTGTGTTCCATGAAATTCTAAGCTTCTGAATTCCTCATAAACTCTACCTTTCTCCTTCTAAATTTATCTCACTGAATTATACTTTTCGAATCATATCTTCGCTCCCTAATCTTCTGCATTACTGCTAATACTTCTATTATTGCTATCACTCTTGGATTTGAAGTGACAGTTGTGTCTGTGTGCTGATGTGGTATTGTAACCTAAAGTGATGTACCTACGTACGAAGTTCTGCGTTGTATCTGTCTGTCTGGGACTCATTTATCGAATCCGATAATTTTTTGACTGTACCAAATCGTATTTACTGATTGAATATTTTATCAAAAGATAGAACTATCGATTAAGATTATTAATAAATTAAGCTTTTACATTTACATACAGAAATATTAATCCGTAATAGGATTAAGCTAATTATCAATTAACAATTGATTAGTTCAATATCAATAAAGGTAACAACAATAAAATCAATAGGTCTACTCTTTTTTTATCTGTTATTTAAATAGTGACTTAGTTAGATCTCTCTTACATATAGAAATAAATTACTTACTAACTACAATAATTCAATAACCTGATACAATAAATTCGATACGTTTTAAGCAGCAGTTAAATTGGTTAAATGCAATAAACCTTTCATTTATTTCAGTGATCACTATTGATCGATTAGAAGCGATCAACAAATGGTAACTAGGTCATTATGATATGTAAACCCTAACCGTTAAGTTTAAATTAGCAGTTGTTGTCAAGACTGAAATAATACTATTATATCAGCTTTATTAAATGTGTATTCAGTTCTATTGATTCATCCTTGCCCATGTATAAACAATGTCTATTGAAGTAATCCAAAACGATTACTCCAACACCCTAATATCAACTGCAGAATAGAATAAGAAAAGGCTAGTGTAAACAATTATCCAATAAGAATAATATTTCTTATCGATTTAATGCGACTGTTGAAAATTTGTCAATTTAACTTTTTCATAGAATATATCCAAACTAATATTTAATAGATGAAAGATTTTTACGACTGGTTGTTTGTTTCGTCTTAGTATGAGGTTTTCTAGTAGTACCATTGGTATTTCAGAACCTTTATTTTTCCTACCAATCACGGCATTATCCAGTTCGCTAACCTAAGGACAAGTCTACTGCCCACTAGTTGGCTCCGTCTTACTTTATAGCTGTGAAACATGGCCAGTAAGAGTAGAAAATATTCATACCTTACTGGTTTTCGAAGCATTGCTTGTGTATCCTGAGACCACCACTATTGGATTTGAACTGACATTTGCGTCTCTGGTATGATAACATGAACTGATGTACATGTGTACGAAGTTCTACAATGCAGCTGACTGACTTTTTATTTTGTTAACTGTGATAATTACTTCACACCCAAGTTAGCTAATTCTAATTTATCAAGACTTTTCACTAAAACTTCAAGAAAATTATCTTAAAGCCAGTTAATACTAGATATACAATTGTTATTTTAGGTTGGGTAATAAATACAATTTCACAAATAACTCATCATAAATTTTCAATCAATTCTAAAAAGGACCCATTCGTCAAAACAAATCCATATAAAAAACATACATGTTATCACTTTGCATTTTTTTTTCTATAGACTCAAGTAAATCATTTAGACATCACGCGTGAATGGAAAGGATGGATGCAATTATATCTCTTGATTTATCATTTCACTGATTCATATAATGTAAGTTCATTTCTGTCTTCTTTTTCTATCATGATTTATTTAACTAACAAAAAAATTCCGTTTAAAAAAACCACACACACTTTTTTCATTAGTATACATAAGTAAACAACTTTCAACCAAAATCAAAATCAGGATTTTGAATACAAATGTCAAGACAGTTCTACTGTATGAAGCAGAAACTTGGAGAACTACGAAAGCCATCTAAGCCAGAAGATACAAGTGTTTTATGAACAGTTGTCTACACAAAATACTTCGGATTCGTTGGTCAGACACCATCAGCAACAACTTACTTTGGGAGAGAACAAACCAGATTCCAGTGGATGAGGAAATGAGGAAGAAGCGGTGGAAGTGGATAGGACACACACTACGAAAAGCACCTAACTGCATCACGAGACAAGCCCTCACATGGAACCCTCAAGGCAAAAGGAAAAGAGGAAGTCCAAAGAATACATTACTCCGAGAAATAGAGAAAGATATGAGAAGAATGAACAAACATTGGACAGAACTGGAGAGGAAAGCCCAGGACAGAGTTGGTTGGAGAAAACTGGTGGGCGGCCTATGCTCGATTGGGGGTAACAGGTGTAAGTAAGTAAGTAATACATAAGTAGAACAAAATTTCAACAACAAAAAATGCAAAAATATGAATAAATAAATCAAGAATTATTAGGCAATAGTGCTTATAAAATGATAGACTACTAGATTCAAAACGTCAAATGGATGTGTTTGACAACACTGTTTTCTCTGAACTAGACAGGTTAATTTCTAAAACTTTCTGATACGAAGAGGGAAATGAAGAAACAGTGTGACAAACAATGGAAGCTTATTTTTCGGAATATTGTTTTGCCTAATTCGAAGCCTTCCTAAATTACGAATATTTGTTTTTTTCACTTCTTAAACCTTCAGTTGATGTATGTATGGTTCGTTGTCACCACATGTTTTATTCCAAAATTATCATCACTTTGACATAACCCCCATACTCTTCTATTTTCCTACCCTGAACGGCTAACTTTGGGCATAACAGTAATTTTTTCCAAATCCTTTGTTCATTGTAGTCTTGGTAGGTATATATTTATTTATTTGTTTTTCCTCGTTAACCGAATCACGAGTATTTTGAGTAGTGTTCCAGTCTGTTAGTCTTCTCTTTCGCTTACTAGCCTATCCGGTGATAGAATAGTTTTTTTCCCTCTGCCACGGCCGTTTAATCATAACCGAATTCATATTCCACTTGTCTCAAGTTCACGAGATGGCCTATCACCTCCCAGGCCTTTAACTTAGACTAAGAAAAGTTTAGTTTTTTTCATTATATTATTTTTCATTGAACTTATGAATCGATCATTGACAAACTGTGACCATTGAAGTTCAACCCTGTCTGGTGTAGGCAGTTAGTTACCTGACAAAGACAATAGGTGAGGTTACACAAAACATTAGATTTGATCAAAGCTGAGTGCCTGTTCGCTGGTCTAGAGCTTAAGCGTTCACGCACGAGATCGAAGGTCCTGGTTTCGATTCACGCCAGCTGATGAGTAGTCCCACACAAGGACAAAATGGCTGTTCAATGCTTCCATGTTTCTAGTAGTAGTCTAACAATGATCGATTCATGATTTCAATTTTAAAAAAAACTTATTTCCTGTTAATTAGTGACAGACAGTTCAAAAACATAACACTCATTGTCCTTTTAAACAATACGCAGTACAACGTCTCTCGAATCACTTTTCTGACCACTATAAATTACAATAACTTGCATATTCTGTTCTAACCAATACATAATTACTGAATTCATTGTTACATTACATCAATCTGCTTTTGTTTTCAAATATCATTCAACCGATCACTGTACAAAAACTTGAGAACATACAAATGTGTAAAATCATACAACATATCAAAAGTATGTGAAAATGTTCAAAAAAAGAAAAACTATTACCATCCGTGCAAAAAAACTTTAAATCTTGACTTTTTTTTTAATTTTCTCAAGTACCCAAACTAGTTATTTTGTTAACGAAACTATTGGAAGTGGATTGATCATTGATCCTGTGCATATTTTTTTTCCGCATCGTAAACACAAAATTTTGCCTGTAATTAAAATAATGACTTTTATCAATATTATTTCTATGCTTCCAGTGATATATTTATTCTCCTTTCTTAGTTATCATCGTAATATATAAATGGTAGCTTTTAGTTTAATTATATTTTTGATTTGTTTGTTTGTTTTCTCTATTCAAATCAACAAGGTGACTCCGATTTTTATGTTATCTCGTCTTGTTGTATCAAGTTATCTATTTCTATCAGGCTATGGACATTTTTGTTATTTTTGGCGTAAACCTGTGCCACAAATTAATTGGTTAAAATTATTGAATGTAAGCGTTCTGTTTTATTTTTTAATTTGCCTATATTGTGTGATTTTAGTGTGTCTATTTAAGTCATATCATAAATGTGGATTAATTGCTAACTAACTGATAATTCGCGAGCGTAGGAATATTATCTAGCTCTAAATCACTCATTTGAAGATGTGATTCCCACAATTCCACTGACTTTATTCTTTAAACCAGACAATTATGAATTTTTTTCATTTGGATAAAGGATTAAAAAGCTTTAGTGAGAAGTTGTGACTAGTCGAGTTAAATAGTGTTAGGATATTCATCCAATATCCTAAGAGAATTATTGGTCAATTCCTATTGGTCGATTTCTATTGGTCAAAATTATAGTCGTTTTAACTGTCAAAGTCAAATACTTCAATGTTGTCTCTTGTTGGTCATCCGAACTGTCAATGTCATTTCAAATGTTGCTTCCTATTGGTCGTCTTAACTGTCAATGTCACAGAATTCGATGCTGTTTCCTATTCGACCAAAATGTATAAATACGCATTATCTGTAACATTTTATGACCACGACCAGGACCAGGGTTCGGTCCCGGATCCCTAGTCCGGAATCCTGATTCTCTTCTGGATTCGGACGTCGTACTTTCTGGATGCTTGTAGAATACAGGTTCGAGTTCATATCAAGTCTTCTTATTTTTTTTCTCAATATGGGGGTTGGGATAATCGGATTTGAGTAGTATGTCGTGTCACCGGATCCTCGATCCTCGCTCTCGTTTTCCGTCTAGGTAAACTCGTAATAGTTCAAGTATATCAAGTTGACGTGTTTACCTGCAGGCGTAACAAACAGTTAAGTGTTGTGAGACAGTTACCCACCGATAGATAGCATTGGAAGATGTTTGCGCAATATGGTAAATTGATTGAAAAAATCCTAAACCTTTGGTTACCAATTAAACCGGTCAATTAATTGGTTGGAAGCTCGCCATCATATCTGACTATCTTGAACCCGATCCACGATATCTCTGTGTGTGAATGCGGTATGTTAAGAAATCTCACACTCGATTAAGATAGTTTTCAATTTCTACTATTGCAATTAACTACGTTTATAGTTTTTCAATATAAAAACTATAATATATCTATAGGTTTGAAGTCAATTAATCGGATTACAATTTGACATTAATATAAATCAATAACTCAAAGTATTGCAATAACCAACAAATATACAAAAACTCCCACCTTAACAATTTCTTATATGTTAAGGCTTTTATGATGTTAGTATATTTAATTTTCAGAGCACATCAACTGCATACTTTAAAACCAATCACTGTGATTTTTATACGACATGTTAAAGGAATAACTTCATTAATCGTTTTGGGACTTATATATCTAAATACTACTATTTTATATACACTCCTATACTAAGACGAAACAGCTGCCCAGTGCAGTGCTTTCTGGCTTTTAATGGGTTATCTTAATAATTTTCAGGCAGAGTTTTGGAGGTTTGTGTTTTTACACATTTGAAATCATCAATCAATTAATCATTGTTAGATGACCACCATTAGAAACCTGGAAGCACTGGACGGCCGTTTCGTACTGGTATGGGACTCATCAGTGGCAGTGCACATCCACAACTCCTGCACCTCGCAGGATTCGAACCCAGGACCTTCGATATTGTGCGCGAATGCCTAACCATTGAACCACCGGGTCGGCATCCAACAGTGTTAATGTCTAACTCTGGTTGATGTAGGGATTTTGCGCGACCTCACCCATTTGTCTTCCGTAGTTACTGGCTACACCCGACATGGTTGAACTCCATTAGTCACGTCTTCTCAACTAGAACTCCGAGAATTTCCTGACGAAGCTAGTCACTAGTGAGCACTGTTACGATATTTTGGAGGTTTGTGTTTTTACACATTTGAAATCATCATCTTAATAATATCAATCTATGATATAAACTAGACAATGCGTAACACTAAGTATTTGAATTTGATAGCTAAACTGATAAGGACACTTGAAACTGTTAGTAGTAATTAAAATGCCAATGACAAAACAATCTAAAATAATCAACTTAAGGTTATGTTGCCATAGGTGACTTAATAATGAACTTGATCCAAGCAGATAAGCTAAAACATTTATCCTATGTGTAAATATTTATGATTTGTCTATCTGTCAATGTGCATACACACAGATACACACGCTTGTCGATTAACTTAAATGGGGTTCGTTTATGTACAGTCTTTTTTAGTAGCATAGCACTGTATGATCAACAAAATGACTTGATTCAAAGGCATACAAACATATATACATATTCACTGTTGAACATGTGCTGAACTGGTACTGGACGCCAATGATGTCTGCCCACTTCTGTGGGATGAACCCTGTTTGGCTGGGCGCTTGCGCTTGATCGAGCTCATGACATCTTCCTCATGGAAAGGTGTACGTTCCGGCTGACCTTGAGGGACAAACTCAATCTTTAGCTTCATGTGAGGCCTTGGGCCTCCGTTCGATTGTATCAGCGCAAGGCAGTTGGAGGCCAGACGGTTGGAATGGCTGCTGGCTAGAGTACTGCTTGGGTGACTCGGTAATCCGTTTCAGGGTGCCAGGTACAGCTGGGTCAGCCCTCCTTGCCTATTGGGGATTGTGGGTAGTGGTCTAGTTGGAGGGATCTTGTTGATTCATAAGTGGCCGAGCCGGGGCCACTGTTCGTGTGCGTGCTTTTTGGACGTCTACCTGTCTGCAGACCAAACTGGACAACATGTATGTTCCCGATTGGGGCAGGGGTGATTACTGTTGTCTACAGTGAGAGCCCTTGCGTTGCCTAAAAAGCAGCGATGTGCATGTGCAGCAGGCTTGTTGGTGAACCATGACTATCTATAATAAATGTTGCTAAAATAATATAAACTCGTACTTCTACTGTTACACTTCAAGCAATACATTATATCATACATGTATATGAAATAATTTGACCTTTTTTTTCTTATTGTTTTAGTATCGTCGTTTCTCTAGAGAATTCTGTACTGCATGGAAAGCATTATGGCAAATTTTACATCGATATTTAATTGTAAGTATTCTTCTTGTTAGAAAATTTTATTATATAATAACCTCTTACTTATTAGGATTTAAGTAGCTGCAGTCTATTGGTAAAAGTTTGTATATTCCTGTTTTTCATGTTAAGGCTTCCATCTGACAAGTCCCAAACAAAGATAAGTTCTGGATTCTACTATTTCATTAAGAATCAATATCTGTCCGAGTACACTTTATGTCAAACAAGCATCGTGTCGTTTTAATAAATTTTCCATTTGTTTAAAACTAATATTTAAAAACATGAGTACTAGTGTGGTGTACGCTACTTATATTCACATCAGCAGGTGAGGACATTAGCATATATATTTAAGCGAATATTACAGAGTTGTTAAGCATATGTACAAAACCTTCCCGTGAAATCATCATTTGCAAACTAATCCTTATTTGTTTCAGATTTCAGTGTTCTTTCATTTAGACTGTTCAGACTTCAGTTCACTTTACGTTCGTTACCTACAAATCGCCTTCTGTTCTCATTCCTTCCTTCTCGATCTTTTGCTGTCAGACGTTTGATTTCCATTTGATATCATATACTACTTATGTGAACATAAGTAGCGTACACCACACTAGTACAGTAATAGGTACAGTGTTTTGACGAAACCCAAATATTACTTGAGATGATAGCTTAGGATGAGGATTTTGGATGTCTTGCAGTCTCAAACTTGTATAACTTTGTTGTGAAGCTTTCAGTGTTCTTCTGGACAACATAGTCAATACATACGTCAAAGAGAAGTGAACTATTGAATTTCTCTACAATTGACTAACAACAGCTTTAGAGATACTGATTTCTGTGTTAGTCTCTACACACTGTCGATATAACTTCACAAATTTGATGAATCATAATTTATAATTGTCTATCTGAAAAGAAATATCTAACTCTTCCCACCTTTATAGTCTTAGCATATTCTCTAGACCTTAAACTGTACCAAAACTATATTCAGTTTAAGAAAGGAATATTTTATTGTTATTGATCTATAGGAAAACATTCATTCCCAACTAGATAGTTTTCCATCCAACAGTACAATTCATCTCATCATTTATTTGTTACTGTCATCAATGCAAACCAATAAGTAGCTTCACGCGATAATCCTCGAAACATATCTTCGCTCCCTAATCTTCTTCAATACTGCTAATACTTCTGTTATTGCTATCACTGTTGGATTTGAACTGACAGTTGTGTCTCCGTGCTGATGGGCCATGGCAACCTAAACTGATGTACTTACGTACGAAGTTCTGCGTTGTATCTGTCTGTCTGTCACGCGATAATCAGTCTGTAACTACTTCTGTCGGGTTTTATCAATGGAATATGCAACAGAAGAACTATCATGCCTATAACTAATTGTTTTTTTCAGTTTGGTATTCAAATACCTAACTGATTAGTGAAACCAATTGGTTGAGTGTGATTGTACCCTTTTTTTCCTACCATCTGTATTGTTTGATTCATTATCCTAATCGATCGTTTAATTCTATTTCATTACAGGTTATTTATCGTTATAATTTCTTTGTTTTTGGATTATGCCTAGTTATGAATCGTGGTTATTTAGCTTATTATTTCGTTCCATTAATATCATTTTGGTTCACTGTTACACTGATTGTATGTGTTATATTCCCACGTGTATCTGATCAAAAAGTATATGGAAATCAAAATAAACGCGATAATATTGATCAGAATGATAATAATACTAATCTAAATAATATCAGTAGTAATAGTAATAATAGTAATAATTCTACTCATCCTGACAGTATTATCAATGTAACTATTACTACGACTGCAAATACTATTCCTTCTACAACTACAACTACTTCTACTAATATCATTAGTAACCTATCTACTGCAGTTGCCACTTCTACATCCAAACTTGATCAATCCTACAACTATAATCGTAAACGTTATTTTAATCAACAATACTGTACAACTAGTCATAATGACTATTCTTCACCCAGTCATCAATACATAGAATCAGATGATGAAGTTTATTTTCATCAATCTCCAGCAAGATTTAATTTAAACATGAAGAAACCATTACTAATGCCTACCTCATCACCATCATCATTGTCAACATCGACAGATACAGTGATTGATGAACTACTACCTGATCATATTCCATATCCTCCTCCTCCCTCTTCTTCTTCTTCTTCTTGTTCATTGTCGTGCAAATTAATGCCATCAACTAATGATAATTATAGTTTACATAAAGGTCATTATAAAGCATTATCAGTTGGTACAGGATTTGATCTTTGTCAAAATTATTCTCTTACTACTAATAGTACTACTACTACTACGGATACTGATCATACTACTGCTTATTATAACTCTCAATTTTGTCATTATCAAAAACCTGTTGAACATCGATTACATCGTACTGTTGTCAAATCACGTGGACGTCTTGGTCCACCGTTAACAGAAGATTTAATTCGTAAATTCCAGTGTATTGTTTTACCAATCAAAAATAAAATATCATCAACAAAATCATCATCAACATGGAATACTACAACAACAACAACAACCACAACAACCACACCAACATCACCATCTACAATAACAATGAATAAAAAACGACTGATCATTATGAAACAACCATCATCATCGGAATCCACTATGACTTCTGGGACTACTACTTCAACTAAATGTTGTAAATGTTTCCAGTCAATCTGTTTTATTCATTGTAGTCGTATACGATTAATTTATGTGATAATGATTATAAAATTTATTGGTTTAATATGTTTAGTTGAATCGTTGTATCGTTCAAAAGGATTCTTTCATTGGTTATTTTTTTCAAGGTAAGATTTCTTCTATCTATGAATGAATTCTGTGATTATTTGTTAATTTTAATAATAGCCTTCCACTTGTGTAGTCAAATGAACCTATTGTAACGCTTACTTAAATAATTCCCAGCTAACTCCTTTTGCTTAGTATTATTCTCTGACCACAATACACCACTGGACAAGTTCCAAAGAATAAACAAAAACACGGTGGAACAGGAAAAGAGATTATATTCCAAATAGCAAGGTTAAATGGAAATAAGAAGCCAAAGGCGATGGCGAAGGCAAAAATAGATACAACGTTAGTTCCTTTATAGCATTTACATGAGAAGCTTTTGGATTGTAATTCACGTGATCGACTGGATTACATTTAGCCAATCAGCATGCAGCTAACACAGTACGAGAATTTTCTACCCTGTTCTCCAATAATCGATCAGGCGCTGATTGGATAGGAAATTAGCCAATCAGCGCGCAGCAACGTCGTCATGCTTTAATTCTATGTCCCACTAACAGGCGTCTTGTGTGAGAATGGTTTCTGAACCAAATTGTAACTTTGACTGTGTTATAATTAAATAAAAATCAAGATGACCCGATGCAAAGTAGTAGTAGTTCAAGACGAAAAATAAAGATTTATTTGACACTGATAATAGATAGATCAAAGCTTAAAATCTGAATGCATTTTTATCCATGTTTTATTATGCTGGAGAATATAGTCAGTCAAATTTTGCACAAAACTACACTGATCACCACTTGCCCACCCACAAGGTTAAATTGCCCTATTCATCAAATGTAATTAATTCCATTCAGTAATTCGTAAAAAAACGCGTGTTGACCTATGTTCTCGTAACCACATCAGTACAGCTGTGATGATTATGAGCAAGACTGTACAGAATAAAAAGGTATGTATGGCGAAATATTATCCTGAAGAGAGACCAACTCAATGATATCTATAAATTGATCGACGACATCTCACACAATAACAAGAATGTACAAGTGAAGCAGAAACCGAAAACAAAGTCTAATTCTTGGATGTATCAACAACCACAAAAAAAACACAGTAAGAACTAGAGACAAGTAAGCAGGAAGCCATTTCATCAGTGATCTAATGTTAAATTACAACAGCACACAGACATTATTCAAAAAGTCAAAATGTAGACATTGAAATCTAGGAGAATAACCAACCACTACCAAGGCCATTCGGACAAACTCATTTAAAACTGGTTAAGTAAGTAAGAAGCCCACTTGTCCTGAATAACAATGAAAACTCCTCAACTAAACCTAGTTCAGGATGACTCAGAAACACCAATGGCATCCACATGGGCTACAACTCTCCATTATTTAATAACACTATAACTCAATAACTAGAATAAGATCAAGAGCCAATGCATTCACGTCATTGTGACAGATTCTGAGCCACACCAACACAGTGTCTCCAATCAATGTAACTTAGTTCAACAGCCACTAACTTCATGGACGTTTTAGTTTGACCTCCTCCAACTGATCTCTAGATCAACTAAAATCACACAATAATATAACTAATTTACTAAGTTATCTACTTGATATTAACTAGGGTTTATTATGATTTTGGGAATCGGTACCTCGATTCAAAGTAAGCACATAGAAGATTGATGCTATTAAGAATGAATGACATCAAAAACAAGTCTCAAAATTACACTGTTTTTAGACTAAAATACAATCATTTTGTTACACCTGCACGTAAACACGTCAACTTGATATACTTGAACTATTACGGGTTCACCGTAGTCGGAATACTAGAGCGAGGATCGAGGATCCGTCAACACGACATGCTACTCTAATCCGATTTTCCCAACAATTCATTGAGTAAAAGAAGAAGACTTGATATGACGTAGATCCTGTATTCTACAAGCATCCAGCAAGTTCGAGGTCCGAGTCTAGAAGAGAATCAGGATCCCGGACTATGGGTCCGGGATCGGGTCCTGGTCCTGGTAATGGTCATAAAATCTTACAGATAATGCGTATTTATACATTTTGGTTGAATAGGAAACAGCATCGAATTCTGTGGCATTGACAGTTAAGACGACTAATAGAAAGCATAATTGGAATGACATTGATGGTCAGGATAACCAATAAGGAACAACAAGGGAGCACGTGACATTGATATCTAGGACGATCATAAAATTGACCAGTAGGAATTAACCAATAGGAAATGACCAATAATTCTCTTAGAATATTGGATGAATATCCTAACACATTTATTTACTAATTTCTACTTAAGAGGAAATACATTGATTGAGTTACTGTAAAGATGCACACACTAAATATAATACACAACCATGGATAGAGAGAACTTAATTACCACATTGAACGAAGCTCAAATCTGTTTTCCGGATCGAAATTTATGATGAATTGACGCACAAAAAACGCTTAAATCATCTGATCTTTTTATCATGTATCAGAGAGCCAATGAAGTAAATATCCCAACAAATGAGGTATTTTTATCTGATTATTTCAGTATTGAACATCACGATAAGCTAGAGTAAGCTCTTGTTACTAATAAATTATTTTTGAAACCATGAATCGATCAATGTTAGACCACCATTAGAAACCTGGAAGCACTGGACGGCCGTTTCGTCCTGGTATGGAACTCATCAGTGGCAGTGCGCATCCACGACTCCTGCACCCCGCAGGATTCGAGCCCAGGACCTTCGGTATTGTGAGCCGGTATCTAACGGTGTTAATGTCTAACTTGATCAATTCACGGAGTTAAGCAACCTCATACATAGTCTTCGGTAGTAGTTACTGTCTACACCCGAACAGGTTGAACTTCACAGTGGTCACGTCTTCCCACCACAACTTGGAGAAGATTCCTCACGAAGCTAGTCACTAGTGAGCACAGGTAATTTGCATTACGGAGTTGTTGTGAAGATTGTTCAGTTACACATTTTTGAAATCATCAATCAATCATTGTTAGACCAACACCATTAGAAACCTAGAAGCACTGAAAGAAGGGCCGTTTCGTCCTCGTATGGGACTCTTCAAAAATTGATTGTATCATCATTTCATGTGAAACAACATACAAAATCAATTTGATTCTTTGTTTAGTACACTGTAATCATAATCAGGTAGTAGTAGTAGTAGTAGTGTTTGTTCATAGCTGATAGTATAATCCTATTGAAATTTCATTACATTTTTAAAATAAATATCATACATATCTTTAGACCACAAAAATATCTATTTCAATATTATCGTGAGTATACACTTGATAGGTCATCATCATCAACACAAGCAGATATTGTTAATCATGATGAAAAACTCTGGTTCTATCGTTGGTCAATTGATCGTTATTCCGTTATTTATGGTATGATATTTGCTTTTCTGTGTGAATCATTACGACAAAATGGAATATTACATGATACCGATGATAATTATGATGATAACAACAACAACAACAGCATTGGAAATGATGATATCATGGATTATATTGTACACAATGATGGTGGTATTCATCAATCGGATAAAATTCATTATTCTCAATTATTATTACATAATAAGAATTACAATCTTATGACTACAATGAACACTAATAATGACAATCATAATCATAATAATAATAATAGTAGTAGTAATATCAACAATAATAAAATGATTCATAATCATTTAAATACTGATTATCATAAACAATTTCAAAATACTCATAATTATCATGATGAATCGACTGTGATGATGATGACGAATCGATCTTATGAATATTTTAATCATTCAACAAATTATACAATGGAACCTTATAATAATGATTCGATTGTCAATTCAAATGAACACCGCTATACAAATCATTTACAAAAGTCAATTCATCATGTGAATAGTTTATCATCAACATCATCATCATCATCCTCTCTGTTATTTAGTCATTTAATTAAACATAATACAGAATATTCTTATTGTTTCTCTATACCTCTCTTATACAAATGTTTCTCATCGTTAGGTTTAACTATATTAGGTGTAATTGGTCTAACGGTAAGTGAGTAGTTGTGTTTATTTTCTTTTTTCGTCGGACAATCGGTATGGTAAATTTCCCCCCAAGTGATCTCGCCGATGTCAGTTGACTAGTTGTAGTAGAAAAGATTAAACATTGATAATATAATTGTTTCTAAGTGTATATCAGACACCGAAAAAAAATCTAGTACAATATGAAGCTAAAAAATAGAATGCTCCGCATAAAGTATCAGTAACACTGTGAGAAAAAGAAGGGGATACATTTTAGGATATTCATTCAATATCCTAAAAGAATTAATGGTCAAACCCTATTGGTCGATTTCTATTGGTCAAAATTATGGTCGTTTTAACTGTCAAAGTCAAATACTTCAATGTTGTTTCTTATTGGTTGTCCTGATTATCAATGTCACTTCAAATGTTACTTCCTATTGGTCGTCTTAACTATCAATGCCACAGAATTCGATGCTGTTTCCTATTCGACCAAAATGTATAAATACGCATTATCTGTTTATTGACCACGACCAGGACCAGGACCCGGTCCGGATCCCTAGTCTGCGATCCTGATTCTCTTCTGGATTCGGACCTCGAGCTTCTGGATGCTTGTAGAATACAGGTTCTACTTCATATCAAGTCTTCTTATTTTTTTCTCAATATGGGGATTGGGATAATCGGATTTGAGTAGTATGTCGTGTCACCGGATCCTCGATCCTCGCTCTCGTTTTCCGACTAAGGTAAACTCGTAATAGTTCAAGTATATCAAGTTGACATGTTTACGTGCAGGCGTAACAATACATTTGACAGGAATGAAAAAATAAAAATAAAGGAAATAGTTTACAAGAACAATATATGGTACACGAAACACTTTAGCTAATAATACAAACGTGACTGAACAAGAAAACCACATCAAGGTTCATCATTCGTTTCTGTTCTGAGTTATGTTGGATAATTTTTGAAGTCACTAAATTGCATCATCTTTCGGACCTAAACTAAGAAGTCAGTATAGATCGACAGGTGCCAATTCTACACAGCCTTCTTTCGTACCACACTACCATATCATAAACGAACTACCTCTTCTCTTGATTTAACTCATGCTCATTTCCGGTGGGATAACATTTGTATAATATGCTCACACCACCGAAGCCTTTGTTTCAGAATGATAACACCAACTGAAATATTACCGCTGTGCCCGAGAACACATAATGCCAAAACTTTGCACTAAATATCAGTAATGCTTCAGAGAATATGACAATCGAACACAGAGTCATCTTATATCCTCAACTCGAAAGGTTCATATTTTGTAAACATGGCATAAAACTGCTCAGTTCTTACTGGATGTTCCTGTTAGCCACGTCTTTGGACCCGAATATAAAATTTCACTTTGTCACTTTGAAAAATGTAGGTAAAAGCATCATACGCCTTGCGATCTGTCGGTCTCTCAGGAAATACCGTCTAGTTATAAAGCAATTAACAACTAAATGCAACAACAAAACAATAAGATAAAAGAGCTTTAATCTGAATCATCAACCCTCACACGTAGAATAATTCCTTGTAGTAAAAGAAAAAGGTTAAATTTACACATTATGAGTCAAGCCAAGTGTTGCGAGTTACAGCTATTACCGATCTAAAACTGACTTTTCTGTCGCACAATAAATATTTTTCATTGATTCTAAACATTCGAAAAATTAATTATTGCTAATGTTTATTTAGTTCATTAGTGAAATGATATACAAATTATCTGTCACTACAATTCAAATTTCGTGCAAATTACATTTTTGATAATATCCTAATTCTGATTGGTTAACTCAAGGTCGTCAGGATATTATACTTTTACAGTAATGTCTTGTGACTATGATCTTATGATTGTATGTTACTTAATTCTGTCTACTAAAACCAATTGAAACTATCTAAAATTTGTTGAAAGTTATATCTAAGTCATAGATTCATTACTTGTCTAATGTAATTATGAGCTGAATGATGATGGATGAAATTCTTCTTCGTTTCAAATCCTCAAGAATTGATCCGCCCTTATATCTTGTGGTTTAATGTACATATATGATATTTTGTAGGATAAAAATTTTGGATATATATATTTGCTACGCCTACACGTAAACATGTCAACTTGATATACTTGAACTATTACGAGTTCACCGTAGTCGGAATGAGAGAGCGAGTATGACATGCTACTTTAATCCGATTGTCCCAACAACCCATTGAGTAAAAGAAGAAGACTTAATATGAACTAGAACCTGTATTCTACAAGCATGCAGAGAGTACGAGGTTCGAGTCGAGAAGAGAATCGGGATCCGGGACCGGGTCCTAGTCATAGAACGTTACAGATAATGCGTATTTATACATTTAGGTTGAATAGGAAACAGCATCGAAGTCTGTGACATTGACAGTTAAGAGGACCAATAGGAAGTAACATTTGAAATGACATTTATAGTCAGGACAACCAATAAGAAACAACAATGGAGCACGTGACATTGATATCTAGGACGACCATGAAATTGACCAGTAGGAATTGACCAATAATTCTCTTAGGATATTGGATGAATATCCTAACAATATTCCTTTCTCTAAACATATTATTCGAACGTTGCACAGTGTTTTACCCTGTGCTATTTTATTGATGTAAACTGTCACCAATCTTATATGTGACATATATCCTAAACAAACGAAAATCCTAAGGGCATACATACATGCTAGAATTTTATTTTGGTTTATAAAAATTCTTTTACTAACTTACTATTTTCCTTTAGATCTCTATTTATCGTAACTTCTCTTTTCAAAATTTTGCTTTTCAGTTTTCGTGTATCTATATCTTTGCCTGTTCAAATCGTGAAACATGTTTACGTATTCACGCATACATGTGTCTCATTCCTGTAAGTTTAAAATACTTTGATCCTTTTATTTTCACAGTTCTTAGATAAATAAATAAAATTGCCTGTTTCGATGTTGATACAATAAATAATTTCGGTTAATCTTTCAATAAAGTTGTTGAATTAACACAAATGTTTTTTTGATTTCAAGTCTTCACTGGTTCTCTCCATCTAAATGAATTTATCTCATTCTCTATGGAAAGATTTATTTTTTTCTTTTAGATTAAAATATCTCCTAGTATAAGAGTAGTTACTACTAGATCATACAATCAAGTGCTACCTTAAAAGTAAACGTTGTAACTTTTTTTTTTACCGCAAATCTAAATAAAAATTCAACTTCGTACGAAAGAGCTTGGGGTTCATCCAAACAATTGAAAAATATCTGGAACTCCAAACAAATATCAATCAACACCAAAATCAGGATTTTCAATACAACAAATGTCAACACAGTTCTACTGTAAGGAGAGGAAACTTGGAGAACTATGAAAGCCATCATCCAGAAGATACAAGTGTTTATTAACAGTTGTCTTCGCAAAATACTTCGTATTCGTTGGCCAGACACCATCAGCAACAACGTACTGTGGGAGAGAACAAACCAGATTCCAATGGAGGAGGAGGAAATCAGGAAGAAGTGGTGGAAGTGGATGGGACACACTGTAATACCTCTACCGCTTGAAAATCTTATCTCATTGTGCCAGTAGTGTTTAGCGACTTGAATAGATTCTATAGTGCATATAACTGACTGATTGTCTTTTCAAATCATATTCACAATGTTCAATCTTTCTCATTAACGCGTATGTGCCCGATGTAACGTTATAACCGACTGAGTGAATGGTACAATTACTTCAAGAGCAATCTATTAATGATGATTACTCATGTAATTTATTTAACTCTAATGTAAGTACATAGCTCGATTTGTATGGATTTAGGCAAATGAATAAATATACACTCGCTAGATTTTATTTTGACCAATTTGGTCTCGTGTGCTGTTACGGGTATGAGGAGAGTCTGATCAGTGCTGATGGCCTAGTGTGTGACGAAATCTCAGCCCGGATACAGAAGGCTCGATTGGCCTATGTCAGCCTGTGTTACATATGGCTCGGGCGAGATATCCGTTTGCTAACCAAATTACGAGTGTAATCTGCAGCAGTTCGCTCCGTCCTACTATACGGATGTGAATCATGGCCGTTAAGAGTTGAGGACATTCGTAGGTTACTAGTCTTCGATCATCGATGTCTCCGAAGCATTGCTCGTGTATCCTGGGACAACCGTATAAGTAATGCTGTCGTTAGGAAACGAGTTCTAGGTAGGGATGGCAAATCAATAGATGAAGTAGTGAAACTTCATCAGTTGAGGTGGTTGGGACATGTGTTGCGTATGGCTAACCACCGACTGCCTCGACGAGCTATGTATGTAGTTTAGGAGTAGGTTGGAAGAAAGCTAGTGGCAGCCAAACCAAAACATGGCAGAAATGCATGAAGTCACTGACAAGTGGACTGAGTCATGTTGGTAGATATAGACCACCTGGTTGGGGTCCGCGAGACGATAGTCACCAATGATGAGAGCCCTTGAACGACATGGCTCATAATCGTTTGCAATGGCGCAGGTGCATCCACTCTTTGTGTTCACTCTAATTCTAACCTTCTGAATTCCTCATAATCTCTACCTTTCTCCTTCTAAATTTATCTTACTGAATTCTACTTCTCGAATCATATCTTCGTTATCTAATCTTCTGCATTACTGCTAATACTTCTATTATTGCTATCACTGTTGGATTTGAACTGACAGTTGTGTCTGTGTGCTGATCTGGTATGGCAACCTGAACTGATGTACTTATGTATGAAGTTCTGCGTTGTATTTGTCTGTCTGTCTGACACTCGCTAGATAATAACTACTACAGGATTTGTGTATTTTCATTGCCGATTACTGTTCTAATTTTGCTTATTTAACTGTATAAATTATAATAATTTTTTTTATAGATTATATCATATATTCTGGTGAGAAATAGTTTCAGTTCATTACGTAGAATATATAGTATATTCTTTGCTTGGATTGGTGATATGTCATTGGAAGTAAGTTTCAAACAGATTCTTCTTTCTTTGAACTCGTTATTTTGCTCTATATGCTATAGACAAACTACTAAACAACTAGTTCCAAGCATATTTCTCATGGTTATTTTACTCTGTACAACCCCCACTTATATCTTTAATACATATGACATGTGGCTAGCTGTGGAATGCAGCATGCACATTTTGTCCTATTTGAGTTTAGTCAGTTAAATTTTTTATTGGAGCTGTTGGAGAAGATCTATAGCTCATATGAATGAATTGTTCTGTAAATTGGATAGTTTAGTCATAAAGTTTTCATTGTTCTTCTGTGAACAGCATCGAATTTCTCCACTTGTTTTATAGTGTTCATATTCACTCACACAGTAACTGGAAGCCAGTTGTTTTTCGCTTCAAACACCTTTGTTATCCACTGAGTTACTAAGTTCAGGTATTCACTAATTTTTTCAACAGAGGTATGAAGTTATCTGTAAATATTTGATGATTCCCAATTAGGATGAATTTTGCGTTTTGTATATTCAATTACTGACCATACACCAAATACAGTAAAACCTATAACAGGAGTAGACCTATTACCAGAAGGCTTGTTTATCGACTTAGAATATGCCGATGACATAGTCCTACTTGGTGAAGACGCTGACAAAATGCAGAGTCTTCTGACCGCCCTAAACAACAATGCAAACATGTTCGGGATGCGGTTTTCCCCCTCGAAATGCAAAATGTTGCTTCAAGACTGGGTTGCATCGGTACCCGAACTAGTGATAGGGAGTGAAGTAGTCGAGAGTGTTGATCACTTCACTTATCTGGGTAGTCGCATCAGCGCTGATAGCCTGGTGACTGACGAAATCTGAGCGAGAATACAGAAACCTCGATTGGCTTTTGCCAATCTACGCCCTTTATGGCGTAGGCGAGATATCCATTCGCTAACCCAAGGACGGGTGTACTGCGAAGTAGTTCACTCCGTTCTCCTATATGGCTGTGAAACATGGCCGTTAAGAGTAGATGTTCCTAGGTTACATGTATTCGATCATAGATATGTAAGACTCATTGCTCGTATAGCGGGGGACAACCGTAGAAGCAATGCTGTCGTTAGGAAACAAGTTCTAGGTAGGGATGGCAAATCAATAGATGAAGTAGTGAAACTTCATCAGTTGAGGTGGTTAGGACATGTGTTACGTATACCTAACCACCGAATGCCTCGACGAGCTATGTTTTGCAGTGTAGGAGTAGGTTGGAAGAAAGCTAGGGGCGGCCAAACCAAAACATGGCACAAATCCATGAAATCACTGACAAGTGGACTGAGTCATGTTGGTAGATGTAGACTACCTGGTTGGGGTCTGCGAGACGAAAGTCACCAATGGTTAGAGACCTTGAACGACATGGCTCTAAATCGTTTGCAGTGACGCAAGTGCATCCATTCGTTGTGTTCTCTCAAATCCTAATCTTCTCGATTCGTCAGCACATCTACCTTTGTCTTTCTAACCTTATCTCATGAAATTATACTTCTTGAATAATATCTTCAAACCCTAGTCTTCTTCATTACCATTAATACGTCTACTATCTCTACTATCACTATGGGATTTGATTTGACATTTTCGTCTGTGTGCTAATGTGTTGGTATGGCAACCTGAACTTATGTACATAGACGTACAAAGTTCTACGTTGCAACTGACTGACTGACTGATACATTATTGGCGCAACTCACTCAGGATGAGAATATGACAACAAAGAGACTAACCAATCGCATTCCAGAATGTCAGCAATGGAGAATTGCAAATCTTTATGTACTACTCGTTTTTGTTTGTTAGTCGTTGTTTATATATGCATAATTGCGCTTAAGTAAGATATTTCTTACAATCTAATAATGTATACCAACTTTCTTACATCTTGAAACTCTGTCCGTGTATGTTTGTATTTTGATCTAAAGTATGTAGAGGAAATTCATAAAAATCACAAGTTGATTCAAAGTGCTTTTCCGGTTTATTCTGTTCTAATCATGTTGTGCGCATGTACTAGATCGTAGTGATGATAATCCAGTTGATGTTATCAGCATCATCTGGAAAGGTCGGATATGGTAGCTTAAGTGTGCCTAAATGACAAGTCGTCACTGCTTTTGAATAAAAAATAGTAACGACCTTGATGTAGTTTTCCAATAACATTCCTTATAAAATTAGAAACTTTGTAAATGAAAAAAATCTTAGTCGAATTTTTGTACCGAACTGTAACTTTTTTACTGCATAATATTGATTGAACTTAGAAACATTAATCACACGAGATCAACTTGGTCACCATCAAATCCTTTCTATACCTCCTATTAACTCTCATATCTCTACAAACCAACCCTTCTTACATTCTTTTATCACCTTGCGCCACTGATGTAAAGGATTAGAATATTCGAAATGTTGTTCCCAACTAAAAACTTGATTAACATTTTTTTGACTGTAAAACAAATTCAATTGTCAGAAAATCTTGTTTCGTAAACTCAAAAAAAAACTAATGAAGAATCTTACTAAAAGGAATGGAATAGTTTCATCCAGTTTGGTGTATAAATATATATACTCATCTAAATCATGAATTGATCGATTTTAGACCTCCTTTAGAAACCTGGAAGCACAGACAGACGGCCGTTTCATCCTGGTATGGGACTCATCAGCAATGCGTATTCAAGACTCCTGCACCTCGCAGGATTCGAACCCAGGACCTTCGGTCTTGCATGCGAATGCAATTGAATTTATTTTACAGATATGTTAGAAATTCAAAAGCATTTAACCAAGTTTTTAGTTGGGAACAATATTTCGAATACTCGAATCAGTGGCGCAAGGTGATAAAAGAATGTAAGAAGGGTTGGTGTAGAGATAGGAGAGTCAATAGGAGGTATAGGAGGGATTTGATGGTGACCAAGTTGATCTCGTGTGACTAACATTTCTATACATATATTTGCGCTACGGGGTTGGGAAAATTGTTGAGTAACACATTTTTGAAACCATGAATCGATCAATGTTAGACCACCATTAGAAACCTGGAAGCACTGGACGGCTGTTTCGTCCCACCATGGGACTCCTCAGCAGTGCACATCCACGACTCCTGCACTCCGCAGGATTCGAACCCAGGACCTTCGGTATTGTGCGCGAACGCCTAACCATCGGACCACTGAGCCGGTATCTAACTGTGTGGGAAGATGTGACCAGTGAAGTTCAACCTCTTCGGGTGTAGACAGTAACTACCGAAGACTGTGTATGAGGTTGCGCAACTCCGTGAATTGATCGAGTTAGACATTAACACCGTTAGATACCGGCTCAGTGGTCCGATGGTTAGGCGTTCGCCTACAATACTGAATGTCCTGGGTTCGAATCCTGCGAGTTGCAGGAGTCGTGGATGCGCACTGCTGAGGAGTCTCATACCAGGACGAAACGGCCGTCTTTCAGTGCTTCCAGGTTTCTAATGGTGGTCTAACATTGATCGATTCATGGTTTCAAAATATATATATACATATCTTATTGTAATCGTATTTATGCTTCACAATATTGATTATTTTGCTTCAATTCCTATTTCTTCCTTCATTTGTTTTTTTGTTCTTGTTTATAGTTATTTATTGCCCAATATCATATATGGTTATCAGCTGATGCTTATGGTATACTTGTTCTATTACCAGGTTTTCCATTAATCAATTTAACAGTGACATCATTTATTTTTATATGTATATGTCATGAAGTGCATAGTTTAACTCATCGACTACAAAATTACATTATTCCTAATTCTCCTTTAAAATTTATACGTAATGCTTTAATTTTTGCATTAATATTTCATTTAATTACAAATTCTACATCACAAATGATGCAGTTGGATTTCTCTTGACTATTATTATTATTATTATTATTATTATTATTATTATTATTATTATTACCATTACATATCTTGTAGAAATCATGTCATTTTGCTAATGAGTAGTAACCATTAATGGTGATTTTTGCGCCACATGTCGCTGTCTCTCTCTGTCTGTCTATCTATCTATCTATCTTCCTCAAATTGCATATTACCTTATGTGATAATGAAAATGAAATTGCAATTAGAGGAAGAGAATGAATGTATTTATCATAAAATTTTTAAATTTGTACATCAATAATGTATATTGATATCGTATTAATGACTCTCTTATGAAGTTATTCAGTACATAAAATAGTGTGATCCATGATAGTTGTTATATAATTATATAATTAACATGATGAACTAAAAGATACATTAGAACAGAGCTATTGCCTAAGTATATAGTTTGTCAATAGTGCGCATTTATAATCCTACCGGCTTCATAGAACCGAGGACTTTCAGCTGTTACGGCGAATATTTAGCCATTGGGCAACTGAGTCAGTATCTGACTCCAATCAATTATCAATATTAAGTAAGCGTTCAAAATTCATTGTCTGCAGTGGATAGCTGTCCTAAATCTAGCATATTTGAATTTTGCTAGTCATGGTGTTTCACTAGATCTGGAATTGTATCTCGAAATGAGTCACTAGTAAATATATGGTTATTATCAATTATGTAGCTTGTTACAGTTTATGCCAGTAACTGACTGATCTTAGATGACCATTAAAAAAAAGTTGTCAATGCTCATTCCTGACAAGTCTCTTATTAGCATAAAATAGTTATCCAGTGTTTCCCTGATTCCCCGAAATAGAGTCAATTGGTGATGTAAACTAATTGTTTTTTCTAGAAACTAATAGATAAGAGTGAAACAAAAGTCTATTGAAATTATTTTGTTCAACTGACAATTATAAAATTAGGTGAAACTCATAGCAAGGCCAATAAATAAACATGTGATTTGCATTACAATAGCCAATCAAAAACGACGATACTACAAGAGTTCGAAATGATAGTATTGTTAAGGAAAATTGGGAAATATATAATCAATGAATAGATATACAAAATGAATTATTGCTTAAGAAGTATAATTCACTTAAGAAAGCAACCACTGCCTCAACAGCATCAAAGTTTACTCAAATTGGCATATGCGTCTAGTTATATATTAATTACATCTACTGTACCACACTACTAGCACTTACGATACATATATTTATTCAAACACAAAGATCAGTACGAAGAGGTACCTAAATATTGATGCACCGCACAAGTTGGGCATGGGTTAAGATGCCGTCCTAATTCCGGAACCGAAGCAAACGATTTTCTAAAGAGGCCATTCCTGAGCCTTAGACCAAGAACAGTGGAGCAACGTCAGGAGGTACAGTCCCATGGCAGCCAATAACTAAGTAGTAGGTTCGTACGCCATTTGTTTCCTTTAGATTGTCGAGCTCACTTGTTCAGGATCAAAGTTTTCCATCTCTTTCAGGTGGATTCTCACTACTCATCAACCTAATTCAAACACCGGACATTCACTTTTCATCTCAAACACACCCCCCCACCGCCATGCAGAGGCAGTGAGTAGGACAGTGGCTATATACGCGTAGTCATATGAGCATTTCGAGAGGGAGAGAAGACTCCTCAGCTGTACTAGAGGATTCGGGATCACGCAACTACTCAGATATCTGCAACTACACGTTGATAAGTATTTATTCATGTATAATCTCCAAGTGTTAGATCGGACAAACGGTTAAAAGTTCAGTAGGTTAGGTGGTTTTAGTTTGACATTCAGGGAATGTGTCAATAATGGCCAGTGGACAATTAGGCCCACGTAGATCACTAAGGATGATGAACTTGTTTTTTTCTATTATCTATTAGCTATTCAAAATAAACTTGGGAAATATTTTTTCATGAACTTGATTTACAACCTTTGTTTTAAAGTATTATTTCGTCTATTACACACAACTGAACCAAGTAGATATCTGTGAAGTCTTTTTTCTGAAGAACTTCTGGAAGCAGAACATAATTCTATTTCAAGGAAAGCTTGAGTACATTTCACGGGCTATACTTATGATTTAAATTGGACATACACACCACTAGCGGTCTGAAGGTCCTGGGTTCGACCTCTGGTAGGTTTGTGGATGCTCACAGACGAGGAGTCCCTTATGAGGCCGAAACCGTTTTTCGGAACTTCCTAGTTATCTGTGGTTATCTAACAAAGATATGAACTCTAAGAAATCTAAAACAAGACATTACAACGGCTAAATTTCTAAGATAACCGTAACAGAACTGGTTTATATTAACTTACTGATCAATCAGATTAGACAACATTATAGCATTTTAAGTATGAAACATGACAGAGATAGGAATAGATGAAAACAAAAGTTTGAGAATCAAGAGGTAATTTAAAAAATGAAATGCGCGCTCAGAGAATTTGCTTTAGATTAAATAACACTTGTTTGAGTTTATAGCCACAAGTATGTTTCTCTCCTCGTTCGAATTTCACTTCTTGTACTACGAGTTAAAATCAGTCAAATCTCCTGGAAATATGGTTTAAAAAATTGTAAGACATGCACAAGTTGCAAGTAAGTATTTGATTATAGTTTCATCGCAATGATCGCGAACAGTGGTGGGTAGAGAAAGCAAGAGAGATGGGAAAGGCAGTGGCGATAGGTAACAGTAGACAACTATTCAGACTTATCAAGGATACCGGTATTAGGAATCCGAACGTATGTGAGACTATCTCAGAAAATGACGGTCTTATCATTCATTCTCAATCCAGCAGATTGGATCGATGGGCAGAACACTTCAGGGATCAGTTCAATTGGCCCTCAGTCACACTTTGGTTGCCCACGATCTCCAGTCATCCTGAATGGGAAACCGACATAAATCCTCCGAATCTTTATGAAGTTGAGAAAGCGATATGAAATCTGAAGCGAGGGAGAGCAGCGGGTCCTGATAGATTGACCCCTGAGATTTTTAGGGATGGTGGTCCAGTTTTAGCAGCTAGATTGACTGAGATCTTAGGTATAATCTGGGCAGTATTTAACTCTGTTGATCGTGAGGTTCTGTGACAAAGTCTGTCAATGAAAGGTGCAACAGAGAAGTACATTAACCTTATACAAGCTCTCTACTCGAACACCACTGGTCGAGCGAGAGCTTATGGAGCACTGTCGTCGAAATCGATTACTTCAGGTGGTATCCTTCAGGGCTGTTCACTCTCTGCATTCTTGTTTAATTTTGTCATAGACTTGGTTTCAGAGATATCATTATCTTCATCTGACACTTGCCGACTGTGAATATGCCAATGACATAATTCTATTTGGTGAAGACGCTGATAAAATGCAGTTTTCTGCCTACTCTAAGAAACAATGCATGTTTGGGATTCGGTTCTGCTGGCCGAAATGCAAAGTGTTGCTTCAGGATTGACTAGCGACAACACCTGAACTAGTGATAGGGATTGAAGTAATCAAGCGTGTCGACCGCCTCACTTATCTCGGGAATCTCATCAGTGCTGATGGCCTGGTGATTGACGAAGTCTCAGCATAGATACAAAAGGCTCGATTGGCTTTTGCCAACTTGCGTCACCTGTGGCGTACGCGAGATATCCATCTGCTAACCAAAGGACTAGTCTACTGTGCATCAGTTTGCTCCGTCCTATTAATGGCTGCGAAACATGGCCAGTGAGAGTAGAAGATATTCGTAGGTTGCTGGTTTCGATCATGGGTGTCTCCGAAGCATTGCTCGTGTATTCTAGGACAACCGGGTAAGCAATGTTGTTGTTAGGAAACGGGTACTAGGTAAGGATGGCAGGTCAATAGATGAAGTAGTGAAACTGCATCAGTTGAGATGGTTGGGACATGTGTTACGTATGCCCAACCATCGACTACCTCGACGAGCTATGTTTGTGGTGTAGGGTAGGTTGGAAGAAATCTAGGGGCGGCCAAACCAAAACATGGCAGAAATCCATGAAGTCACTAACAAGTGGACTGTGTCACGTTGGTAGATGGCGACTAACTGATTGGGGCCAGCGAGACGATAGTGATCGATGGTTAGAGGCCCTGAGTGACATGGCTCAAAACCGTTTGCAATGGTGCGGGTGCATTTACTCTGCGTTCCCTCAAATCCTAACCTTCAGAGTTCTTCATCACCTTTATCTTTTTCATTTAAGCGTATTTCACTAGATTCTACTGCTTGAATAAATCGTCGAATCCTGAAATTCCCGATTACTGCTAATACGTCTACTACCTCTACTACTATGGGTTTGAAGTGACATTTTCGTCTCTGAGCTAATGTGGGATGGCAACTTGTACTGATGTACTTACGTACGAAGTTTTACGTTGTAACTGACTGACTGATATGGGGACGGAATGAACGTAAAATATATAACTCCAATAGAAAGTTCTATAAATGAAATTCACCCGTAAGTACTCCACCTACCTACCAAAACAGAAATGCTACAATCTCTGTAATGCTATTCTTCGCTGTGAACAAAGAGGAACTCGAAATGTGTCTGGATGAACCCTACTCAACCTTTTATCATATCCTGGACTTGATCTTTAAAATCCACACTAATCTTACTTGTTAAAATTTGTGTATGTTCTCTGTGAGTATATATATAGATGCGGTCCCATAGTAGCCGGTGACCAACAATGGGTTCGTGTGACATTTGTTGCATCAAGATTTTGGAGCCCAAGTATACCACTTGTTCGGAGTCAGTTTTCCAACACCCCTAGGTGGATCCTCTGTACTCATCAACCCGATGTTAGCTTTTCATTCACCTAATTTCCTAGACAATACCTACACCACAAGAATGCAGTGAACAGGACTCCCCTAGCAGTGGCCACTTGAGAGCATTTAGGGAGAAGTGGACTCAAGCCCTGCTCGGTCGTACTAGGGCATTTGGGGACTTAGCTGAATAACCTGACTAGAAACCAGAATTATTAGATTAGGAGATTTTACATTATCTCAAGTGAGTGGTAGATGTGACTATATCGCTTTCTGTAATAGTTCCACTAAACTTTTATGATAAATAGAACGGACTTGCTTGCAAAAGTTTATAATCTTATTTATTTTCGACTGCGAAATCAATCCACTGTTATTGGGCTCATAATTAGACAAATATGCCACAATCTCATCAATAAAAGTTTACCGAAACGAGTCATCTCTAGTATACGTGACCTTTTTTGTGATCAAGTTGCCCTGTTCTTGTGACATATCTTGATCAATCAAAGACGAAGTTGGTCAGAACTAAGAAATATACTACCATATTTTATTGCGAACGATCTGGTTATACGTTAACTAGATCAAAAAGATTTGACGCTGCCTGTTGATATAAATTTGATTTTAATATCCAGTGTTGTAACTCACATAAATTTACGTTATCATTTTGTGTTTTTCCCATATTCTAGTTTATCTTATTTGACCCTTAGTATTCATATAAACATAAAAGTGAATAGTTGGTAAGATTTTTCGAAAAGCATTGTACTATTACACCACATACTTTTGATTTACCTGATATTCTCATTGTGACCTAAAATATTAAAGTTACTAGTTATTAACCTGTATTTACAAAACATTGATTCAGTTGAAATTTGTAAAGTTTTTATTAAAATAATAACGATCTTCCATTCAATAAAAATATAAAAAGAAGGTAAGCAAAGTAAAACGAAATCTTAGTTTCTGAATAAACCATAATTAAGTTATCGTTACATTGATACCAAGCTTTTTCCAGGCGAATTCATGTTCCCGTAACTCTTCGAGTATTTTCAGAATATATTTAAACCTTGAAAGAGACATTAACGCACCAAGCCAGTCTGATTTGCCAATTGAATCGACTACTGTCTTTTCTTCACTACTTAACCTTTGGTGAAGATCACCAACAAGTTCATGAATGGTATCAGATAATTCACTAACATTCTTCTCCGAAGAACTGAAGTTCATAACATCGTGAACAGCTTCTTCAACCTTTTCCCTGATGTCCATCACTTGTGATAAAAATTCCATATCATCCGAATTCTTGAAATCCAAGTTATCAGTTGACATTCCGTGAAGATGAAGGAGATATTCATAACGTTCAACTGGCTTTTGTAGACAGCTGTACGCTTTGTTTACAAAAGCGGACGCATCCGAGGCAAGTTCTTTTTCATACTGTGTTTTTCCACTGAATTTGTCAGGGTGTAGCAATTTCTGGGTTTCGCGCATCCGACTTGCTAGCTCAGTTAGATCTACCACAGGTTCCGGACTTGGATAGCCGAAGATTTCAAAATAAGACCAATTGGGATTTACTGGCTGTATTTTTCCACATTGACAAAAGAAAGCTAGATCTTTTACTAACCTGTTGCAGTTCCAGCATGTACGAAAATTTGACTCAGGGATGTGGACATGTGATGTAACATGTAAACAGCTGTACCTAGTTAGAGATGCTTTGAGATTATTAGTACTGTACAGATAATACTTGTAATGACGAGATAATGCAAGACTACGAAAACTGTTTAACGTTGGAAATCCGAGAAGTATTGAGCCGCTGAGGAGACGCATCGGTAACGAACGCATCATTAAAGCCGCTTTCAATTCCCAACTTTAATTTCCAATATCCAATATCTTTTTCACGAACTAGTGTAAACCAATTTGATTTCTTCGCGCTCGATTCTTGTTATTTCGGTATGGTTCCAGGTGTTCGGTAATGTCCAATAGATGGAGATCTAGCCACTCGACTGTCTAATTAGAGTCATTAGGCAGTTGGTTGTGAGTTTGTATGTCTCGGGATTTGAATGAAAACGTTTGCTTCAGAGCAGTAGGGGTTCTGGATACCAGCAGCAAGCTTTTGTTTAAATTTACTTGTTAGCCTCGTTTTGAAGTTATTTTTGTTATGTTAATAGTCGTTGAGAATAATACAGTCGTTCTGATAGATAAGCCGCTGTCACACAATCAGTTTCTAACATACTTGTTCAGTATTTTAACTTCGGTGTCATAAGCATTGATCCGTTCTGCCTGAGTTACTATTCCCTTCCCTTTTGACCTTGTCAAATATTAGCTTTTATATTGTTTGTTTTTCTTAGAGTGTGTATGTGCACCGCTTACTTCTCTTATTATATGCCTAGCTTATTTCGTCTGATTATAAATAATGAGTCATGGTTCATCTCATGGAGTTGGTTTGCCCGCCTTCTCCACCTCACTTCTCTCCGCTTTAAGGCTTTGTATTCTTATCTGTCTGCTTGAAATAAACCTAACCAACTTCACACGTATTCAGCCTCTTCCTACCGCCGTCGAACGATCGGAAAAAACAGTCAGCTCATGGATCACCAAACTAATGAACTCTACTGCGAATTCAGTGCAGCCTTAAAATTGATGAGCTTGATGAAGAATATAACGCAGTCTACTAAACGATGTCACCGATAATGTAGCACACGCCGCCAAACAGCATTCTTCAACCTACTCTGTCCTTGGCCGTCTTCGCTAGTTCTGTCCAGCTGCTGTTCATTCTTTTCAAGTCTGTCTCCAATTCTAGGCGTAATATGTTATGTGGTCTTCTTCTTGTCCGTTGGCCTTCAGAATTAAAACTTAGGGCTGGCCTCGTAATCCGGTAGAGTGATTTCCACGATGCGTCCTATCCACTTCTTACGCCTTTTCCCAATGCCCTTCTCAGATGGAAGTTGGTCTGCCTTCTCATACAGTACGTTGTTGCTGATGACGTGTGACTAACGGATTCTCAGAATCTTCTGTAGACAACTGTTAATCAACACCTGTGTCTTGTAGATGACAGCTTCTGTAGTTCTCTAACTTTCCGCCCTATACAGCAGAACAATCTTGATATTCATACTGAAAATTCTGAATTTGCCGTTGGTTGATAGTTGTTTTGGGATCCATATGCTACTGACTTGTTGAAATACTGGCCTTAGTTTATCAAACCGTGCCTTCTCATCTGCATCAGATCAAACTTGTAAATCAACGATGCTGCTCAGATACGTAGGGCTTTCGACATCTTACAAAGCCTCACCGTCTAGTGTGATTTGGTTGGTGCTTGCTGTGTTCCATCTTAGGCTCTTGAGTTTTCTCATGTTTATGTTGAGGCCAACTGCTGTGAAGATAGCCACTGGTGTTACGCTGGTCGTCTTTTCCTGCATTTGTTGTGAGGTAGAACGGCTAGGTGATCTACAGAGTATCGATCGTTCAACTGTATCCGAGCTGTCCACTGTAGCTGTTACTTTCACTCAGGTTATGGGACCTTGATAATCTAGTCGACGACCAGGAAAAAGAAAAGACGCGAAATGAAGCAACCTTATCTGACACCGGTTTTCACTCGGAATCAATCTATGAGCTGTCAACTTGTTTTTTCAGTACCGTAGCGATTTTTCTGTTTATGGTTTATCCCAATAGAACTCAGAACGCTGATATCGAAGTCGAGCCATCAAGGAATCTTTCACTCTGTTGAAGACTTTTCCTGATAATTATAGTTGAGTGGTTACTCTGTAGTTCACATACTTGCTGAGATCTTTCATATGTATCCTGATGGGGTGTCCCTCTTTTCAGTCTCTTTGCACTTGTTTTTCTTCCGAAATCTCGCTGAACAGAACATGGAACGTCTATGTAGTTACTTCTAGGTCTGTTTTCAGTGCTTCAGCAAGTATGTTGTCTGATTCTGATTTGTCTGATGGCCATGCTGATTTCTTCCCTTATAGGCAGGTCAACAACTACAAATACTAATGTACGAATTAAGTGAGTTATTTCGTAGAAAAGAGAATTTTTTCGCTGAATTCTGCTGATTTATGTATCATAATGCAATAAATTACCTTATTATTATCTGAAGAATTATTTGTTTTCATCGCATTCCGAATCAAGGATCTACACTAATAATACGAGTTTTACAGTTAAGAATATTATCAATACAAAATGAATAATGACTGGTCAATTTCAAAATGTCTTTTTCTAAAGTACTAATTGGCTAGGAGGTCAACAAACGTAAAACTGCATTTACAGCTAAGATTTTTTAACTTGTTAATCGTAAACATTTGTTACAAAAGAAAATAAATTAAATTAGTTCGAAATTAAAAAACTGAATTTATGTGTTTTTACCAGTTCAACTGGACTTGTAGAGCCAGTTATATTCAATGTACAGTAACGTAAATTCATCATCGCACTTCTGACTCTCATCTCTCTCGGTTATATTGCAGCGTTCTGAGACTACTTATCGCGAGATGGACAAGTTAAATCCCGTTGCGGCCTAGAATCAAAAGACCAGTCGTGATCGGAGGCCGAGGTATATTTATTGATGATCTCAGTATATTGAAAAATATCGAGAGAGCAACAAAAACCGTAGACGGAGTCACCGAGGCAATCGAGCATTTTCAGCAACATGTAACGCGGGCAATTATGGTTTTTAGTACAGTTAAACAAAGGAATGCAATTAAGTAACCACTGGAACAATTGGTTACAATAACAAACGTTTCCATTACACCAATCGTGTTCTCTTCGTTACAGTATCCCACTACATCTGCCCCTCGATAGGAAGGGTTTACGCTTTTGATACTTCGCGGCTTTGTTCGTGGGAGTGATCAGAAAAACGTGCGATAGTGGGACAAAATGGTTGACGAACAGAAAGTGATCTATGATGCTCAAGTTGTCACCGAAGGTCTTTGACGCAGAACGACACCAGCAGTAACGTGCCATGTCCGCCGCTCGAACTGGCGTGCCACAATAGCGTGGCACGTATAGCGATTCTGAAGATTGCGTTCTTACGGGTTTGGACCAAAAAACGCTGTAGAATAGGACGGAACCAGACTGAGCGAAGGAGCCAGAAGCGACCAAAACGACCAGGTTCGAAACCATACGTATGCCAGGTATATTGGGAACCAGATCACTGACTGAGTGCATTGACAAGAGCGAGGCTGATCAGGCCAGCTTTCACCAAGATTGACTGAAGTCGACGGTACTAACAGAGTGATGGTCATAGACATGGGCTCAGGGAACAAAACGAAATAAAAAGAGAAAGGTGTAGCATACATGTAGTATGGGAACAAAGTCCTGTACCGTATCTGTCGCTGATTGAAGGATCAGTCGCGAAAGGGTACAGGTAGGCGTGTGTGGCAACCGGAACGTGAGACGGTAGTCTCGTGCGCACTTCGCGAGCCTGCAGTCACATCCGAAGTCAAGGGCGGTGTGGTCTACTGATCTTGACGTGAGACTGAAGTCTCGTCCGTAGATGGTGCAGATATCGGGTGCTATTGACTAGGAGGTGAGAATGAGGACTCTGATATATCTAGCGTGGGATCCGAAGGTGATGTATGGATTCTGATGCTAGGTTTGATGGATTTAGCACTGGGTCTCAATTTAACAGATAGGGTGCAGTCACCGAAGTGTTCTGGCTTGAGACGATCAATGCTGACTACCTCTGTGCGGCCATGTCACTCAGCCTTGAATACCTTTTCATGAAAACAAATCACGTGAAAATGTCTTTCTTAAGGCTGCTGCGAAGGTTTGCGTGTCTAATATACTCATAGGAAAACATGTGAACAGGCAGATATCTTTCGAGGGAGAGACCTGTCGATGATGTCTCCGAGTTGACACCGGAGACGGATTTATTAAAGTCATTGCTGCTCCGTGGTGTGAAAAATTCCCCAGACAGACGCAACGTCGTGCCATATACTAATTCGGTAGCGGAACATTGAATATCTGCCTTTAGGCTCATCCTGATACCTAAGAGGACGAATGGTGAGGCTTCGCACCAATTGTTGTTTTCGTGTGCTCGAAGAGCGCTTTTAAGTTGACGATGAAACCGTTCAACTAAACCATTCGAAGCTGGGTGGTATTCGGTAGTACGTACGCGCTCTGTACCAAGCAGCCGGATTAGCGAGGAGAATAATTCGGACTCGAACTGTTGTCCTCGGTCAGCTGAGAGAGTCGAGAACCAACCGTAATGCGCCATCCACGAAGCGGTGAGCAACTGTTTCCACCGTAATAGAAGTAATGGGAATAGCTTCGGGCCATCTTGTGAAACAATCGGTGCACGTGAGTATGTGATCATACCTATGCGATGGTGGCAATCGTCCTACAATGTCAATATGAACGTGATAGAAGCGAGCATCAGGCGTAGCGAATGTGCCGATGGGGGCGGCTGCGTGCCTGTGCGCTTTTGACCGTCGACATTGTAAGCATTGCTTCACCCACATACGGACATCTTTATTTATGGACGGCCAGAAGTATCGTTCAGCGATGAGACGTAATGTGGCTGCAAGACCTGGGCGAGACAATCCATGAAGGGCATCGAAGACGAGACGACGGTAAAGAGGGTAAGACAGGTTGAGGAAGATCAGACAGAGACATCACGCAAGATAGTACCTGGGCCAATAGCTGGGGGCACTTCCTGGCACTGGAGTGGTGTAGATTGTCGTGCCTCTGTACAGAAGGGATCATTTGCTTCGTCAGCAGCCATGGCAGGAAGATCAAGCGGCAGTAAACTAAGTGCCTCAGCAACACAATTTGACTCGCCTTTAATATGACGAAGGTCTGTTGTGAAGTGAGAGATGTAGTCCAAATATCTGTACTCTCGTGGTGCTTAACGGTCAGATTTGGTATGCAATGTATACGTTAGAGGCCTGTGGTCGGTGAAGAGGATAAAGTCGCGAACTTCTACTGCATGCTCGAAATATTTGATGACACAGTAGGCTGCTAGTACGTGCGGCATCGTTCGTGTGGATTACCGCGAATTTACATGGTTAATGGTCGTCACTGTTCTGCCACGTGAGGGATGGACTGTCGGTCGAAGTTAACCAAACCAAGAAATGCCTTCAGTTCCTTGAGTGAGGACGTTACAGTGTACTCCACGATTGCACACATTTTGTCTTTACAAGGTAGAATATCCTTTTGGTTAATGATGTGACCCAGGAATTTTATTTCCGGCTTGCCGAGTTCATACTTGTCTGGGTTGACTACTACTCCATTATCCGAAAGGCGTTGGAATAAGAGTGTAAGATGTTGAAATGTTCATCTACGTTTGATGATGAGATTAGCAGTTCATCAATATAAACGTGAACAAATGGCATTCGTAGGGTCTCAAACAGACCGAAAGGAGTTGTGATAGCAGTTTTATCGACATCTTCAAGAGCGACTGGGATCTGATGACATGCTAACACCAGATCAATCTTAGAATAGATAGTCGTATCCTTCAGAGATGCCGTGATGTGGGGGATGGGATAGTTATCGAATCGCGTAGTTACATTTAGTGCTCGTTAGTCACCACATGGTCGCCAATCAATCCCATCATTTTCGCAAGCCATATGGGGTGGTGAGGCCCAAGGACTATGAGAAGGACGAATAATACCAGTAGCTAGTAAACTGTCAAACCCACATTTTGCGAAAGCTAATTTTTCCGGTGCCATTACTAGTGGTTCACGGGTGACGATGTAGTGTAACACGTGGTCAGCCACCGATGTAATCTCCTCGAGAGGTTCAGTTAGCTGAGGAAATTTTTCGAGTAAAGCGTGGAATATGTCGTCAAGCGAATTAAATACACCTGTGATAAAGCACGCGTTTGTTTGAGCTCGAAAACCCATGAATTTGCTGTTGGACGAAGTGTTGATTAGCTGCAGACTACGTAAATAGTAATTCATAGTGCTGTAGGGGATCGATACGAAGTATAGCTGTGGGAACATCGGCAATGATGGACATCCACAGATACTGTGTCAGGTTGTACATGTTGACCGTAGGTTATCGTGTACCATAGGCAGGAATAACTTGCACCATTTGCAGAGCGTAGTCGAAGCATCTTAGCTTGAGATTTGCTGCCACCAGACTACACAACAGAAACCTGTGAATCCGTGTGAACGAGGTACCTAGCGTTAGTGCGGAAATTGTGCTAGTAAAATAAACGAGCAAACTGAAGTGACGGGGAGAAGACAGGTGACAATGCAATGACCTGCACCTCGGAGTCTATTATTATAGCTATCCACCACTTTGAAACGTTTTTGCAAGTACAATGTACATCATAAAAATGGTGATATATGAATAATAGACTCACCGTAATTGACTTCTTTGGATAAAACGTCAGCTCACCAGTCTTAGTGGTGATTGAGTCGAGATTTTCTATGATCACCATTAAATACTAATTACTAACCCGTCACAGAGAAGATATATAAATAAATCCATGGCAAAGAATATATTTGCTGGCGATTTCGTGTTGTCGAAAGAACACCGAAATCGAGCCAGGAAAGTGGAACGAATTTACAGAGCTGGCAAAGCAAAAAATGACAGCAACACAAACAGAAAATATATGCGTAAAAGGTGTTATAAACAACTGGTACCACTGGTTATAATAAGGAATGTTTCTATTAAACTAATCGCGTTCTCTTCATAAACGTAGATTCACCAAAACTGATTCAGTCCATCAGTTAAATTATTAATGGTAAGCATTTCAGTATGGCTCGTTAAGACAATACGATGGGTTATCTCATTCTTTAGTATCATCATTATACATCCTTTCATTCTAAAACAACCATATATCGGAAATTTCTTCACGTGCGTTGAGAGCACATCTAAACTTTCATAAAAACTAAAGCAAGACAGCTAGTGCATATTCAACTTTGTCGATCGTAAAATCTATAGGAAAATATTTATTACTCTCGCAGTCCGCTCTGAAACCGAAAGGTGTATGTTTGCACGCTTCTTGCCCAGTCCAAGTCCTAAAATGATAATTCTAGGAAAGAACGGTTCTACATTTATTCAAAAAAGGAAATTCAGGCAATTAACAAAACAATATTACACCTTCGAGTTTCTAATCACTACAATAGGTTCCGTTACTGGAAGAATAAATGCTTCCAGTCAGTCTCAGCCAGCTGCTGCTAGAGTATCAAATCCAAAAATGGATGTAGCCATATTAAGTATCAATTTTAAACAACACATATATAGTTCAGAAGGAAACATTTAAACTTCAACATAAGTACAAGATATAGAAATAATAACAAGGTACCATTGATAAAATCCCAAAATGGGATCAAAAAGAGAACCAGAAAGAGTCAGTCAGGTCATAACACAAATATATATACATGGAGGGATTTTCCAAAAACAAAGCCTACAAAATCGATTCTACACAATCAGTACAAAATCATCGTGTTATTGAGATGAACCCTCCTGTTATTATTGTTTCCTTTATCACTAGTACTCACTGGTGCTAAGAATTATAACCACTTCACCTAGACTGTAAGTTTACAAAATTCCTAGGCAATAACAATCGTAGTAAAGTTTATATTTTTAAAGTAATAGGATGGTTATTGCTGTATACAAACCACAGGACCTATCTAGTTATAAACCAGCCATGTATCCTGACTAACTTATAGTAAGTCGAAATAAATACATTTCTTCGCGGGATTACCGGTGTAAATCCTGATAATCTAGAAGTTGAAGAAAAGACTATTCTAGATGAAGAAGTATATTTATTGCTAGCCTCGTGATATGGAAATAATATCATAGCTAGGGTACATGAGCGGCTAACAACCAGCTAAGAGAAGAGCCGAGTCAAAATATGACGCTTGGCGCGCGAGAGAAAATCTTTAGTACAGATAAACAAAAGGAGTACAATATAACAATCATTGTCAGAATTAAATACAGTAATAAATGTTTATATTTCAACAATTGTGTTATCTTCGTAAAAGTATACCACTACAAACTCATGTCCAAGTTATATGGAATAAAAAACATCGCATTTAAGTGTGTTTCTTGAGTTAATGTACTGCCTCCACTTTCGACCGAACTAACGTCCTCCTCTGTGCTAGGTCTCATATTTAACCAATAGATCACATCCGCCCATAGTAAGTCTGAATTTAATATTGGTCGATTACTAGAAATAATTACACCCGAAAAACAACCAGGATTCTAAGTGATTTTGCCAAATATACACTCCTAACTATAATATACACAAAAAAGAACCTGAGAAAAAAGTTTATTGGACTTGAATTATGTTATGTCGATTTGCTCCTTCTCGTTATTGAAGTACAGTATGTCGATCTATTTGCAATTCACGAACTCAAATTAACAACAGAACCAAACTCCAAAGTTAGGTACCAACGTTTATTCGCAATTCACAAATAGTCGACCAAAATGTCGTTCTAGCAACAATAATTATAATAACTACAAAAACCTTCAATTTTATAGGTTCCTTGAGCAAAAACCCCCGATGACCAAACCAAGACAAACAGAAACCAAAATGTCCGAAAATGTATATAAATGTTTTAATCAGCAAAATGTCTTCATTTCTCCCGTAACAGATTATATAGCTGATAAAGAGAACCGAAGTCAATTCTAAAACTTGATTTTCTTTTTTTATAGGATTAGTCTTTAATACCATAATGTGTCGTCGGTGTTACATCTAGTTAGTTGGAATAGTTTAGTTGATTTGATACGATCCATTCGATAACTATAGTCTGTAACTGCAACATGTGCACAACACTTCCATGAATGATGGATAACACAAGAAGAAGATGAATCATAGAAACAATTGTATATACGTAGAAACGAATACATAACCTTGAAACACATTGAAATTTAGTGAGCTAAAAGCGGTGGGAACCAATACAAAGGTCTTTTCGGCTTTTTCCATCTCATAAGCCAGCTGAAAGGGAAGTTCTAAAATTCTTCTCTGCATCTCAAAACTTTTCAAATTACAAGATCTTTCTAACTACCTATCAGAAAGCTAATTAGCTGGATTAATCATACTGAATGCTTAAAAAGATCCAAAACTATTCTGTAACACCAAGGAGTGAGTGACAATAAATTTTTAAAGTCTATGATTTCTTCCCAAAATATATAGGGTATTGGCATCAATTTTGCAGCGGTTGTTTCGGTTTCGTACGGTACGAATCCTGGAATACTCACATGGATGCAATTTAGCTCGCATTCATGTTTCTTGTTTCTGGAGGCCCCCATAAACTACTAGTATCAATTATGCAAAAAGGCGAATGTTTCTTTGCCCATCCAGTAAGTAACCTTGATCTACCTGGCTTTCTTATGTACTGTTTCACCATATATTGTGTTGGCGTTTCGTCATAAATTGTTCCAAAGTAAATAAAAATGTTTCATGATACTCAATAGTTGTATCTGGTCCGGTTGAAATCTTCCCACTGTTTGGTTTACAAATCAAGCATCGTAAATCCCTTTTAATATAGCGAGTGATTCCGCCTTGAATTCCCAGATTTTCGAAATATTTTCAAATCTACTACTATAACCATAAGAAGGCATCATGGTTTATGCTTGGTTTTATTATTCAATGAGTCGTCACGCGTTAAGATTTGTTGAGTGTCGTTGCGGGATATTTAGTTTTGCTCAGCCCTATTTGTGAATCTGATAGTCATTTCCATTTCGTAGTGCGGATATTGCGTGATAATTTAGGCCAACCCTATCCTAGATCGCATGTTGATAATTTCGGTATGTGCGTCGGACCATAGCTGCTTGGGTTACTTCTTCTGTAGTCGCTGCTTTCTATTTCAGACCCGAATTGTTTTATCCATTCAAATTATGTAGAAAATTTCTCTGAATTTTTAAAATTCGTGGCCTAAAAGCTCAAAGCCAAAAATCCCAAAACCACATGATCTTATCCACATTTTGAAACTTCTATTTCTCCTGACAAATCTAGAAACAGACTCCATGGGTCTAGTTTGTAGTCCATGAATTTATTATCTTCAATATACGTATCTGAAGAATGTGTTCGATCGGATGTCTACATCTAAACAGCGAGTTGGAACATAAAGGTATGCATGAAGAGATACTGGAATTCAGAATACATCTCTGATATCAATTATTTTTAATCCGCCTCCAACCACTGATCACGATTATCACATAGGTCCTAACTCAAACCATCAGTTCGTGACTTCATGAACTAACGCTGCCTTTAGCTTCTCCCCTACCCACTTCACCCTTAAGTGTCGTTCAGTAAAGTAAACAGTAGTCAAACATATTTGTGTATCCGTTAGGATTCACCACTACAACAAATGATTTGCCGACTTTTCTAACTTAAGCATTATTTACTCAGTCAGTCACTTGTAACAGAACTTCGTACGTATGTACATAAGTTCATGTTGCCATACCACATTAGCACAGAGACGCAAATGTCAAATCAAATCCCATAGTGATAACGATAGTAGAGTTATTAATGGTAATGAAGAAGACTAGGGTTTGAAGATATTATTCAAGAAGTATAATTCAGTGAGATAAGGTTAGAAAGGCAAAGGTGGATGTTCTGACGAATTCAGAAGATCAGAATTTCATAGAACACAAAGAGTGGATGCACCTGCGCCATCGCAAACGATTCTGAGCCATGTCGTTCAAGGTTTCTGACCATCAGTGACTTTCGTCTCGCGGACCCCAACCAGGTAGTCTACATCTACCAACATGACTCAGTCCACTTGTCAGTGATCTCATGGATTTGTGCCATGTTTTGGTTTGGCCGCCCCTAGATTTTTTCCAACCTACTCCTGCACTGTAAAACATAGCCCGTCGAGGTAATCTGTGTTTAGGCATACGTATCACATGTCCCAACCACCTTAACTGACGTAGTTTCCTTACTTCATTTATTGATTTGCCATCCCTACCTAGAACTCATTTCCTAACGACAGCATTGCTTATACGGTTGTCCCAGGATACACGAGCAATGCTCCGGAGACACCGATGATCGAAGACTAGTAACCTACGGAAGTACCTACTCTTAACGGCCATGTTTCGCATCCATATAGGAGAACGAAGCGAACTCGGTCATTCCATGGAACGTGAGCAGCACTTCGAAAACCCTTCAGCCTACGCATGTATTCTGCTATCATAGACCACGTTGCACAGCCATAAAGTACAAGAAGAAACTGCTAAGTAGTATACATACCATTCTCCTATGCCACAAGTGATACAAGTTGGCAAACACCAACTGGGTTTTCTGAATGCATGCGGAAATTTCGTCACAGCCAAACCACTCAGGGTCAATGCGACTCCAAAGATAAGTAATCGACGCTCCCAAATACTCCACTCCTTATCATCAGTTCAGATGTTGATGCAAGAAAGTCATGAAACAGCACTTTGTATTTCAAAGAAAATAATGCCATTCCAAACATGCTGCTCAAGATGATCAAAAGACTTCACCAAATAGAACTTCATCTTGGTATTTTTACTCGATAAATGAGTCGTATGGTAAAAGACTGACTGCAAGCATGTTCGGGATGCGGTTCTGCTGGCCGAAATGCAAAGTGTTGCTTCAGGATTGACTAGCGACAACACCTGAACTAGTGATAGGGATTGAAGTAATCAAGCGTGTCGACCGCCTCACTTATCTCGGGAATCTCATCAGTGCTGATGGCCTGGTGATTGACGAAGTCTCAGCATAGATACAGAAGGCTCGATTGGCTTTTGCCAACTTGCGTTACCTATGGCGTACGCGAGATATCCATCTGCTAACCAAAGGATTAGTCTACTGTGCATCAGTTTGCTCCGTCCTATTAATGGCTGCGAAACATGGCCAGTCAGAGTAGAAGATATTCGTAGGTTGCTGGTTTCGATCATGGGTGTCTCCGAAGCATTGCTCGTGTATTCTATGACAACCGGGTAAGCAATGTTGTTGTTAGGAAACGGGTACTAGGTAAGGATGGCAGGTCAATAGATGAAATAGTGAAACTACATCAGTTGAGATGGTTGGGACATGTGTTACGTATGCCCAACCATCGACTACCTTGACGAGCTATGTTTGTGGTGTAGGGTAGGTTGGAAGAAATCTAGGGGCGGCCAAACCAAAACATGGCAGAAATCCATGAAGTCACTAACAAGTGGACTGTGTCACGTTGGTAGATGGCGACTAACTGATTGGGGCCAGCGAGACGATAGTGATCGATGGTTAGAGGCCCTGAGTGACATGGCTCGAAACCGTTTGTAATCGCGCAGGTACATTTATTCTTTCTATTCTATGGAATTCTAACCTTCTGAATTAATTATCACCTCTATCTTTCTCTTTCTAAATTTACCTCACTCAATTGTGCTTCTTGAATAACATCTTTGAACCCTAATCTCTCCGATTACTTCTAATACTTTTACTACCTCTACTACTATTGGATTTGAATTGACCATTATATCTCTGTGCTAATGTATTATGGCAACTTGAACTGATGTACTTACGTACGAAGTTCTACGTTGTAACTGACTGACTCTTAAAAACTTAGCTAAAGCAAACACTGCTTTTGGGAGGACATCAACGATAACTCTAAACATAGTAATTATCATCAGTTGGTATATAATGGGTGAAATTGATCCTGTTTAACTTATTTTCATTGTGAAACCGGTAGCTTAGTATGTTAAACGCTCGTTTTTCAACCAGCTTATTCCATGCTTAATTGTTCACATACTCTTATATCGTCGTTCAAGTAGTATCAGTAGCTGCCCGACAATTCATTGCTCGAATTCGATTACATGGAACCATGCTTGGTTACTGAGCTTCATTAGGTTTTTCTCGATCAGTGATCTGTCTACTGTATAATAGATGAGATTTTGTTATGCAATCCGTTCAAATTGAATGATCTTGCGATAGTATCGTATTAAAAGATGCCTAGCATGTAAATATATTGCATTTCTTTAGAAGAACCATTCGCCTGTGTTTGATTTTATAATCTCCAGTCCTGATAATATTATGGAAGATAGGATGCAAACTTATTCATGCTCGGAATCTTATGAAGAACCGTTCTCTGCACTATTTATGGAGGAAGAGCTTTTACGATTTGATGAATAAATATTATACCGTGTGACTGTTAACGGCCCATAATATAATATGACCGATTAATAACTTCATCAAGTTGCATTTGGACACGAGCCCCGAAATGAGCTGAAATCAAAGTTAAAGCACCATCAATCAGCTTAATAGGTTATTCTTTCAGTAATAGAATAATATGCTTGTAATAACATTATAACATGACTAGATTTTATAGTGTTGTAAGCTATTCAATAGCTAGTGGAATAAACTCTGACTGGTAAGTTGGATGTAGTTCAGTAAAAATAAACTTGAATTGCTAACGTATTATAAGTATCTCGATTATTTATCATAAATTGCTCGTTAATTTACCACCGAGCTGCTGGTGTGATACTGAAGTCCTATGTTTTTCTTGAAGTCGAGGCACGAACAACTAAGTTCAAATTGTGGTAGCCTTGGAGTTTCTAGTTAATGGGGAAACATCGCTTATTTTTCCGTGCTTCAAAATTTTTTTTTTCTTTTTTTCTTATACTGATATTCGATGTTAGCGCTCATAGGATATATTCGGAACAATGTGGTTGAAGCCACTAAGTTCTAAGCTCAAGCCGCACTTGACCTATTTTGGTTTACACAGTCAGCTAATACTATCAGCTATCACACTTAATGTGTCTTATATCAAAGTACTCGGTGAATGAGTTAACTTATTCTAGTAGGTGATAATAAGACTTCGCAGCTCAGGAAACAACGACGTCATGTGCTAGATTCTGAGCTTTCGTTTTACACTAATGACTAATATTATTATCTAATTATTCAAACTTTTGTGTTATTGCTTGGAAATCAGATTTCTGTACTAATAAAAAACTGCAATCCTACCGAAATGATCATATATATTTTAATAATTTCATCTGCTTATCCAGTCAATTCTGGTTGGAGACAGAGACAGACAGATACAACGCAGAACTTCGTACGTAAGTACATCAGTTCAGGTTGCCATACTACATCAGCACAGAGACGCAACTGTCACTTCAAATCCAAGAGTGATAGTGATAGTAGAATTATTAGCAGTAATGCAGAAGATTAGGGAGCGAGGATATGATTTGAAAAGTATAATTCAGTGAGATAAATTTAGGAGAAAAATAGAGATTATGAGAAATTCAGAAGGTTAGGATTTTAGAGAGCACAACGAATGGATGCACTTTCGCCATTGCAAACGATTCTGAGTCATGTCGTTCAAGGTCTCTAATCATTGGTCACTTTCGTCTCGCGGACCCCAATCAGGTAGTCTGCATCTACCAACATGAATCAGTCCAGTTGTTGGTGATTTCATGGATTTGTGCGATGTTTTGGTTTGGCCGCCCCTAACTTTCTTCCAACCTACTCCTACATCACAAAACATAGCTTGTCGAGGCAGTCGGTGGTTATGCATACGTAACACATGTCCCAACCACCTCAATTGATGAAGTTCCAATGCTTCATCTATTGATTTGATTCTGGTTGGAGAATGATGATCATCGGCTTACGCTCCATTAAGGATAACAGGTGTAAGTAAGTAGTCTAATCAATTCTAATAACCTCATTAGAATTTCAAATATTAACAAAGTAATATTAAGTAAGTTTATTTGCTTTTCCCATTTTTTTTTCTGTCACAAAGTTCCAGATAAATGCAACAATGAATTATATGTATTTAATATTGTTCCTACAATATTTATCCCATCTTTTTTTTTATCTTTTATTGTCTCATTGTTTTTTTTGTTTTTGAAAACATTTCAGGGTTAATGAATTTTGGAATATAAATAAAATTATTTCTTGAAATTATCTTCTGTATGTGCTGCAATGATGTTTAATCAAACATCTATGGATTCATCATTAAGTAGTCTTTCTGTATCATCAGCTGTTGATCGTGTATATGACTCATTTGCAAATAATGTAGATACACAACCGGGTGCATTACTTTCTGAACTTTTATCAGATTGTACACCATTGGATTGTCTTGTTTCAAACAATTTACAATCATCTCATCGTCAAGATAGTCTATCTTTGTCATCATTATATGGAGTATCATCATCTTCCCACAATAATAATAATGATAATAATAATAATAATAGTAACTGTAGCATTACAAATACTATGGATAATATGAATGGAATTTATATTCCAACAAATCATAATTCAAATGATTGTTATCAAAAAAAATTTACAATTGAATTAAAACCTGGTAAATTTCTGTTGATAGTTTTCGTTTTGTCAATCAGTGTATATTCTTTGGCTTTGTTTTATTTTTATGTGATTTGTGTATGTAGAGTAGTTTTGTCAATATCTATTAAATGGCTTTTGCCAACCTGCGTCACTTATGGCGTAGGCGATATATCCGTTTGCTGACTAAAGGATGAGTGAGTGTACTGTGCAGTAGTTCGCTCCGTCTTATTTTATGGCTGTGAAACATGGCCAGTGAGAGAAGATATTCGTAGATTACTGGATTTCGATCATAGGTGTCTTAGAAACATTGCTCGTATATACTTAGACAACCGAGTAAGCAATGTTGTTGATAGGAAACGGGTACTAGGTAAGGATGGCAGGTCAATAGATGAAGTAGTGAAACTGCATCAGTTGAGATGGTTGAGACATGCGTTACGTATGCCCAACCATCGACTACCTCGACGAGCTTTGTTTTGTAGTGTAGGAGTGGTAGGTTGGAAGAAAGTTAGGGCCGGCCAGACCAAAACATGGCACAAATCCATGAAGTCAATGACGACAATTAGACTGAGTTATGTTGGTAGATGTAGGCTACCTGGTCGGGGTCCGTGAGACGAAAGTCACCAATGGTTAGAGACCTTGAACGACATGGCTCTAAACCGTTTGCAATGGCGCAAGTTCATCCACTCGTTGTGCTCTCTCAAATCCTAATCTTCTGAATTCTTCAACCCCTCTAGTTTTGACTTTCTTAACTTTTCTCACTGAATCATACTTCTTGAATAATATCTTGTAATCCTAACCTCTCCGATTACTTCTAATACCTTTACTACTTCTACTACTATTGTATTTGCATTGACAATTAATATCTCTGTGCTGATGTGGTATGGTAACATGAACTGATGTACTTATGTACGAAGTTCTACGTTGCATCTGACTGACAATATCTTTTAAAAGTTTCTGTTTCATTTCATGCTTAGTGTGTTACTGTTTTAATTGGTAATATGTTTACTGCTATTCACAAGCTGTAGTAACGTGTCTTCTACACTAGTTCTTTGTTTTGCCCTGCTTATCCTAAGATTAGAGTTTGACTTTATACATGAAATTATTATGTTATTTTTCTTTCTGAATTTGTTCAAAAATGCACCAGTACTATTATGGCGATATTAATTAGTTATTGAAACCTTATGTTCTCAATAATGTAGAGCTTTTCTATGCATGTGTCAAGAGTTACTATAACTTGAGATTATGTTATCTCAAAAAATTCAATTTTCAACATGTATGATTACAATGTTTAACTTGATTCCTTGTTCATTAAACAGTTGGGGGTAAAGCATTTTAGATAAGATTTTTGGCTATGAGTCATCGAAAATCACTTTCTTTGTACAAATATACAGTTTTGATTATTTAGTTATGGATTAATCTAATTTAGATGAATATTAATTAATGCCTTTTTTCCAAATGAACATTGTTTCTGTGACTTTCAAGTTTTCTAATTGTGAGTGTTGTTCTATTTCATCAAACGATAAATTGTGTATTGATTGAATTTGAAAATAGGAATTACTCGGTTTCAACATAATATAGATCAGTTGTATCTCGCTCACCACGAGACTTCACAGTCCTGAGGTCATGTATTGTGTACTATTATCGATAAGCTTTAAACAAAGACGAAATAACTGTTCAGTCCTTTCTGATCTCAATATTTTTTCTAGATTGTATTGCTTCATAAGAGAATTAATTCTAGTGATATCTCTACCTAAACCATTTAAAAATCCAAAAAGAAGTTTTCTTAATGTACTGAAATACGTTATAATGCCTATCAATCAGTCAGCTACAACTCAAAATTTCGTACGTACGTACGTACATCAGTTCAAGTTGCCATACCACACACATTAGCATAGAGATCCATTTGTTAATTCAAATCCAATGATAGTAGATTTAGTGGAAGTATTAGCTCTAATGGAGAAGATTAGGGTTCGAAGAAATTATTCAAGAAGTATAATCCAGTGAAATCAATCCAAAAAGAGAAAGATTAAGGTGATGGAGAATTTAGAAGATTAGAATTTGAGAAAACACAAAGAATAGATGCGTTTGTGCCACTGTAAACGATTTTGAGCCATGTCATTCAAAGTCTCTAACCAATGGTTACTATTGTCTGGCGGACTCAATCCACTTGTTAGTTACTTCATGGATTTCTTCCATGTTTTGGTTTGGCCACCCCTAACTTTCTTCTAACCTACCCGTACACCACAAAACATAGCTTGTGGAGGCAGTCGGTGGTTGGGCATTCGTAACACATGTCCCAACTGCCTCAACTGATGAAGTTTCAATGCTTCATCTATTGATTTGCCGTCCTAACCTAGTACTCGTTTCCTAACGACAGTATTACTTACTCGATTGTCCCAGGATATATGAGCAGTGCATCAACTGAAATCGTTAACAGAAGCAAAATCAAGTGCAAGAACCAATAAACGGATCATCCTGTCATACATAAAAGATATATCGGAACCTACAGCATGACTGCTGAGACCATTTGGAATATGTGTAGCACACAAACCAACATAATCTTTTCAATCAATCTTATGTAGACCAAAGAACAAAATGAAAAAGCAAGAAAAACCAAATATCATCTACAAAATAAATTGCTCAGACAACTATGGAACAATGTGGCATTACTGGACGGAGGAAGCACAAGGAATACTAGGGAATTCAAGTCAATCAGCAATCAACAAACACATCGACATTTACCTAATTTATGAACCAATGAGAAAAATCATAGGCAAATATAGGATCAAGAATCAGATCCAAGGAGGATACAATCAAAACAAAGGTGCAAACAACGACAGGTTTACGATCAATAGCAACCAATCAAGACCATGATTAACAGAACAAGCTTCGGGTAAAACGTGGAGAAATTCGAATACTTAACTTCTATCTGAAGTTAGTGCTGATGATGTTGTTCAGAAGAACTATGAAACCTCTACAACCAAAACACCCAGCTCAGATAACGAAACGCCACTACAATCATCCACCTCAGCTACAATTTTTCTCCACCATCTCTGAATAATTGTCTACTGTTACTTATTGCCATTGTCTTTTCGACCTCTTTTGCTATCGCTACCCACCACTGTTCGTAATCATTGCGCAGGCTTCTTATCAACCCGTGCTTAAGCTGACTCCACACTTCATCATATTCAGATCCAGACGAGATGAGTTTCTGAGCATCTATTAGTTCGGTGGATGCTACTGAGATCCCCTGATTATGATGCCTATGTGCGTGATTGTTTCAATATGACCTAGGTTTGGATTTCACAAAAACCATCACCTCATCATTATTCAGCTCTAATTTACTAAGGATTGCTGACTGGCACAATACCTAGGTCTATCGAGCATCCTACCAATTGCCTCCATTTAAAAAAGTATCACTCAATGAATGATCGCACCCATGTGTCTAATTCTTTCTTCTACTCTGGTGTTCGTTTTGGCACTATGTAACAACTCAAACCAGATTCCAGGTTGAAAAAAATCTTACCTATAAGTTAGTAAATCAATCAACAATCTAATGCAATCAACTCTTATTTAGTTCATTGTTATTTAGAAAAAACATTACTTCCAGCAAATAATACTGAATATTTTTTTTAAATTCTTGATCATGAACCTTCCAATCAGTATAATTATCAATTTATTTTAGAGTACTTCGGAAAATATGTACACAAAAAGGTCAATTCGTACTTATAAACCATTTAGGCTTAGCATCTTACGTATATACTATGCACATAAACAAACTACTGATAAGCTCTGTCTTTAGTTTGTTTTTTTTGTTTAACCTTAGTTGTGTTATGGTAGTAATATGAAATGTCTTATTTTTCTCTCGTCTCGTCTCGTCTCATTTTATAGGTCATTGTCTGTTTTATTTCATTTATTGTGCTGTTAACTTCTCATAAATTCCATTATTGTGTTAGTAGTGGTAATAATATTGGTAGTAGTAGTAGTAGTAGTATTAGTAATAATAATGGCAATCATTGTAGAGTAACCCTCACATGTTCGTCTTATTTTATTAAAGGTTAACACACAAACATTAACCGGTCAAGGTTATTCACTATTAAAAAAAAGCCTTCTGTACTTATATATTGATTCTGTTTTCGTTCCTTTTTCATTATTATTATTATTATTTAAATACATAAGGGGCACCAAAATAAATATGCGCTACACAAACCAGTGAATTATCTATAGGCTTGAATACTGCTTGGATGGTCAAACCGAAACAGGCGGTTTTCTTAAGGAACCACACTACCTGAGCCTTTGAAGTAGAAGTCTAATTCCCAAGGCAGTAGAGCAACGTTGAGAGATGCAGTCCCATGGAAGTTGGTAATCAACAATAGGCTAATACATCGTTTGTTTCACCAGAGAATTCTGGAACCTATGTACACCACTGATTTAGAATCAGAGTTTTCCAAATTCTATCAGCAGGACTTCCCTGAAAGCGTCTATATACGCTTGGTCATATGAAAGCATTTCGAGAGGGAAAGCAGATGCTGCCCATTCTCAGTCGTACCAGGGTATCTGGGGACAACCTAATCACCAGACTTGTTTATTGCCCAGCTAGAAAAAATAATCAACAATATCCAGCTCTAACTGATGTGTAATCAAAAGTTCATTGTGAAAAATATACGGACAATATCAAGTGCGGTGTAAATAATTTCAGTTTATTTCGACAGTACGTTAAAAAAGAAACGATTGGACAGGTGATGTAAAGCTATCATTGAACCATTTTACTTTTCGAGCTACTTTTAGATACATCAGTGTCATTTGTATCACGATTGTTTTCATTGTTGGATAGGGTTAGGATCAAAGAAGTGTACTGTGTTTTACGGTGTGCTATGTATTAGTGTTAATCCCTTCAGTAGAACATAAAATGAAAATAAGGTGGTTGGGACATGTGCTGCGTATGCCTAACCACCGTCTGCCTCGACGAGCTTTGTTTTGTAGTGTAGGAGGAGTAGGTTGGAAGGAAAGTTAGGGGCGGCCAAACCAAAACATGGCACAAATCCATGAAGTCACTGACAAGTGGACTGAGTCATATCGGTAGTTGTCGACTACCTGGTTGGGATCCGCGAGATCATAACAATCGATGGTTAGAGACCCTGAATGACATGGCTCAAAACCGTTTGTAATGGTGCAGGTGCATCTATTCTTTGTGTTCTCTCAAATCCTAATCTTCTGCATTCTTCAACACCTCTAGTTTTGACTTTCTAACCTTATCTCATTGGATTACATACTTCTTGAATAATGTCTTCTAATCCTAACCTCTCCAATTACTTCTAATACCTTTACTACCTCTTCTACTATTGGATTTGAATTGACAATGTCGTCTCAGTGCTGATACGGTATGGCAACATGAATAGATTTCGCATACGTACGAAGTTCTACGTTGCATCTGACTAAATGACTGACTGAAAATGAAAAATTACTTTAAACTACTTCATAATATCCACATTTCATAAGAGATATTCAATCCCAGATTACCAATATCCTGAGAAGTTCAACTAATTGAATCACCTTTTTTTCTCAACACAACTGAATTTACAAAATATTCAACTTACGAACTGCTGAAATGTTGTGCTGCATTAATGTGGTTGTGCTGCTTTAGAAAATTGCATTTATTTCTAACGGTTACGTATGCGTAGTGAATGTGCCGTTTTCAAAATCAATTAGTACGATTCCACAAAATCAACTAATATGCTATCATAAAGTGTGTAGCACACATACACATACAGGATTTCTTCTTGTTTTATCCTAATGAACCTAGTGTAGTGAAGGAGAACGCAGGTGAGGGCAACTGAATTGTATTTAACGAAAATTACGGAGTTACTCAGTAAAATAGGAAAACCATATCGTAAACCGTTAATTTGCAAATCTTCAATCAATCATCAATCCATTGTCTGACATTTCACTTATTCATGCGTTTCATACAAATTCCATTGTGTTCCCACTCTTCCTTTCTTCTTGATCTTCCCCCATCTTCCACTGCCAGACATTACGTTGACACTCACGTCATATACTACTTATAAGTAGCGCGCACCACATTAGTATTTGCTTCATGATTGATTCATGAGTAATTAGCTTGAACAACGTTAAACTTTCTGAGTTTAGGGTTGCATTTCAATTTTACACATATAAAATAGTATCAATAGTATATTAAATAAATTTAGTTTTTATAGTTCATAGCTTATTTATTAATTAAATCCAAACATGATTAATGAAATAACTTTTTAAAAATTTGTTATATAAATATTGAATAATATTTACTGTTTAAAATACTTTTCAAAATTATAATATGCCAGTGGATATTTTCCATTTTTTATTTTCAGATCCGGATATATCATCTAAACTTATTGAAGAACAGTCCAAAGATAATAATAATAATAATAATATACTGTTAGCAGTTTCGAAATTCGATACAAATGTTGAAGGTAAGTTTTATATTTGACAGTTTTGTTCACAGTAATTTTCTAAATCATTTCTGTTAATAAATAAGTGAGTACATTTGTTTGATTCATTAGATGAGTATCGCAGATTTTGTCGAAGTTTAAAAATTTTCATGGTTCAAATTACGAATTAATCTTAGCCAAATAACTATCGGACCCCCTGGTTCAGTTGTCTAGAGGTTGGATGTTCGCGCTGGACACTGAAGGTCCTGGGTTTGATCTTCCGGGATCGTGGGGGGTGGTATTGTTAATGAGTCCCATGTTAGGACGAAACAGTTGTACAGTACTTACTAGTTCTCAATGGTGACCTAGCTAAGATAATTTACATTAGTGTTGTTGGTTTGCAATTTAATCCTTCTCGATATACAATTTGACAAAACTAAAAGTATTCAATCATGTCTTCATAGTATTGGTGTTATGGCAATATCACTTATCGAACGATAGATCATTCAATCTGGTATGGAGTTTCACTCAATAAACGCAAATCAGTTAAGAAGATACTTACTTGTATTAAGTAGTGTTATTTGATGTAAGGCTACACGAGAAAAAAATTCCGAACTCAGTTCATGTTTATGGAGTTTCTGGTCTTTTTAAGGCATATCGCTTACTCAAACCTCCTATCCCTCAAAGAATATGGGTTGCTTACCAGAGATGTTCAACTTTCTTTGTTCTCGGCTCTTTTCCATTTGTTTCCAAGTTTTATTCCTGTCTGTCTCCAGTTCCCGATGCTATGCTTTCTTTAGTCCACTGCTTTTCCTTTTGGCTTGAGGATTCCAAGTCAAGAATCACCTTGCTAGGCAGTACAGAGTGTTCTATCCACCCCAACATATTTCCCAAACTTCATCCTCATTTGTCATCTGGTTTGCTTACATAAGCCATATTGAAAAAGTATAAACTCTCCGGTTATTGGTAACAAGACTTTACGATTCAGCGATTAAAAGCTTCAGCCGACTTAGTTTGTTGATATTTATAATAGTATGACTCAGAAGTATCCATTCTGTATTTTTTCAAAATATCTAACACTTTAATACTTCCTACGTATTTTTGTTTTTTTTTGGTTATCTATATCCATCTTTTTTCACATACTGTCTGTGTAACGCAAGAAGACATTGTCTGTTTTTGTTGAATACCTATATACTCAGTGAAAAAACAGACAACTCGAAACTAGAGCTCATCCTAAATTGTCTTTGATAATATAATCTATTTGCCAAGTACATATTTGTGTGCTTGGCTCTGAAGCACACTCTAAATAAATGTCAGAACTTGTTAAACTACTCGGTAGATGGAGCCATTTCCAAACTTTTCTCTGAATTGCTAAAGATTCTTCAGCTTAACCAACCAATCAGTGCTTTGGTAATGTACAAGTTGCACTAACCATCATCCAGTCTTTATATTTCATAATTGTTGGGGATGTTAGATCCCCGAAATTCGCTTGATAAATGCCTTATTTTGGTTTTCACGTTTGCCAGCATGGGCTGATCAGTTGACCTTGAGATTGCAATTCCCACCAGGAAAATCCATGGCTGTGATTGTCTGCTGTGTATTTTAGTGTGCTATTTTCTTAACTGCCTCAAGGACGTTTCTGTGTAGTATAAATAAACGAGAGTTGTACTGTGATTGCTGGGTGTTTGTAGAATATACTTTCTACGCTTATGAAGACTTCTGTTTTGAAGTTTGGGATTCAAGGTAGCCTACCTGGACGCTGGTTCATTGTCTCGTTCGCGTTTATCGACTAAGGTAAACTCGTAATAGCCTCAAGCATACTTAGTGACGAACTCTACAATAATTTTACAAAGTTTCTTATTCATAGTGTAATTTTCTACTTCTTGTGCAAGGAATTTCCAGTACAATTGCGTTTATCGATCTCTATCATCACTTTCCAAGATTGATTGACTGATTGATTGATTGAAAATTAGGCAATTCTAGCTTCGCTATCTGTGATATATCGATTCGTGTAATAATAATAAAACAATCCATCGTAGCAAGAAAATCAATCCTCATCAACTAGTTGTTCTAACTTAGTGAAATGTTAGTTTATTTTTGTTCAATTCATGCGTGATTGATTCTCTTTTTTTATTATTTTAATACCCGATTATTATTATTATTATTATTATTATTAAACATGGAATAAATCGATACCATACTCATGCTGCATCCTTCTAACCGTAACATTGCAAAAAATAGTTTGAAAAATATATATTAATCAAATTATAAAAACAATGAGATTTATTCATTGATTGGAGAACTAACTCAATATCTCATATGTATGTACGAATAGTGTGTTGTTCTGTTTACATTTAACGATATATATATATATATATATATATAAAGCGATTACCATTGACCAATAAAAATTATTTTAAATGGTCATAGTATATATATATATATATATATATATGTATATATATATATATATATTCTGTACTAATAAACAAACAAGTTAGCCATGAATTATAATATCTATAATTGTAATAAATAATGACTATCGATTTGATCGAGGGATGACTGTCAATAGATAAATAGGTGAATGAATAGTGAGATTTTTAATTTTTGTTTTTACTCCATGATGTTTATCTCATTCAACTGGAAATGGTTTGTTAGAAGAAAAAGAAAGGAAAACGTTTTCCCCTATATTATTGACTGAAAAATATTTTTGATATTGAGAATTTCATTATAGTTGTTGAAAAATATGAACTATTAAGATTGTGTACATTGATTTAGTTTACTTTCTTGTTTTGTTTTATCATGACGTTTTGTTTTATATAAATTTGTTTGTTGCTGCGTATGCCTAACCACCGACTGCGTCGACGAGCTTTGTTTTGTAGTGTAGGAGGAGTAGGTTGGAAGAAAGTTAGGGGCGGCCAAACCAAAACATGACAGAAATCCATGAAGTCATTGACAAGTGGACTTAGCCATGTCGGTAGTTGTCGACTACCTGATTGGGATCCGCGAGATGATAATAATCGATGGTTACAGACCTTGAATGACATGGCTCAAAATCGTTTGCAATGGAGCCGGTGCATTTATTATTTGTGTTCTCTCAAATCCTAATCTTCTGGATTCTTCAACACCTCTAGTTTTGACTTTCTAAACTTATCTCATTGAATCATACTTCTTGAATAATATCTTCTAATCCTAACCTCTCCGATTACTTCTAATACCTTTACTACCTCTTCTACTATTGGATTTGAATTGACAATTATATCTCTGTGGTGATGTGGTATGGCAACATGAACTGATGTACTTGCGTACGTACGAAGTTCTGCGTTGCATCTGACTGACTGAAATTTCTTTGTGGATGGAAGTTAGTTATCATCATAACAGTTCCTGACAAACATGTAATATTGACCCAATTTGCCCTACCATTTCAATACTGCATGATAAATTACACAAGAGATGACTATAATGTAGTAGTAATGATAAGTCAGTCGGTCATACTCAATGTAAAATCTGGTAAATGTGTATCTAAGTTGCCACATTCCATTATCAGGGGAAATATCATACCCAGTAAAGGCAGTAAGAGTATCAGTGATAATCGGGAAGATATAATCCAAAAGGAAAATATGGATTAGCGGAATAAATTAAAAAAGTTGTATACGGTGATTTAAAAATTTAAGATTGAAGTGAAGACAAAGAATGAATGTACTTGCGCTATTGTAAAGAATTTTGAAAAATGTCACCCAAAATCTTTAACTAATGGTTACAGTTGTGTCACAGAGACCCCAACTAAGCAGTTTTCATTTACCGACATGGTTTAAATCAACATTTAACCACTTCATTATAAACTGATTCTATGTTTTGGTTAAGCCTCTTGTAGCTGTCTTTCAACCAACTTTCAAACCTATACTTTTTATTCTTGAAATTTATTCTTTTTTCTCTAATGATATCATCCATATGTCTAATTTTTTTATACTATTACTGCTTCTACTATCCTGAAAATAGTTCTGATAATTTTGTCCCTATATTAATGAATTGTGTCAGCTTCTATGCCACTTATCACTGATAGACTGTCGTGAACCACTTCAAGATGGAGAGTTGACTCTCTCTCAATCTTTGTACAACATTGTCCAGTTCTATGATTCCATAGTAGATAAAAGCGAGTATTTGGATTATTATGTCACGTGAAATTCGCCATCTAGTTGTACACATCAATAAAAATCTTCATCTTGGTTAGATTGATTCAGTATTAAGTATTAACTATTCAGAATGACAAGTTTTTTCGCCTCATGAAAAAGTCTTACCTTAGAGTGAACAGTCATCTCTTTCTTTTGATCTGTTTTCATATCTTCAAAACTATGCATTAAATTGGATTTTTATTATTTGAGTGAGAGGATAGATAGCGTTAATCCAAAAAGATATGATGTATGAACGCCATGGGTTTCGAACACACACGCACACACACATACACACATACATCACACATATTCTTGTCAAGTCACCTAGTGAAGATCAATTAAGCAATAGGTCATTGGTTGTCATATTATACAAAACGTCCTGCCTGATAGCTATCTTCAAATGACCAGATTGTTCGAAATGAATATATCACATTTTCTAAATATCATTATACTATAAAAGTTTATAATAAAGCAAGGACTAATTTTATTTTTATGGTTTATTTATTATAGTAGTGAAAGTTGAAACATTTTAATTAGATTTTTGTATCATCTATCATGCATCGATTAGTTTAGTTAAACAATCAACATAAATCATTTATGTGGCTGACTGATAATGTGAAATTCAAGGTGGTTAGTATGTTTATTTTCGAAAAGACTACTACTATTTTATAAGCGTAAGTCATGTATATTTTTAATAGAGCTGATCAATAAATCATGATGTGATTTTTGTACACATTCGGTAACACTAACAGTTAAATCGGATGAATTTTGTTTATCTCCCGAAAAATACGATGAAGTAACGCATCAACCAACCGAAAAACAGTTTGGCGACCACGCAAGTGATTCCCATCCGGAGGCAGGTTGGAATGATATCAAAAAGGCTGTGGAAACAGCAGTATTATCTTCTAGTAGGGTTAACCGTAAGGCCTAGGATGAAGCCGTGGATTTCAGTCGCATCCACCGAACTGATGGATGCTCGAAAACGCATTCCACCTGACTCTGAACATGATGAAGAGCGTAGTCAGCTTAGGCGCAGACTGATAAAAAGCCTACGTAACGACCTGTGAACAGTGGTGGATGGCGATAGTAAAAGCGATGTAAAAGGCAGCGGCGATAGGCAACAGTAGACAACTTTTCCGCCTTATCAAAGAAACCGGTATTAAGAACCCGAATGTGAGTGAGACTATCTCGGAAAAGGATGGTCTTATTTTCCATTCTCAATCCAGGAGATTGGACCAATGGGCATAACACTTTACGGACCAGTTCAACTGGTCTTCAGCCACACTTCGGTTGCCCACGATCTCCAGTCATCCTGAATGGCAAATCGATTTAAGTCCTCCTAGTTTACGTTGCAACTGACTGACTGATCAACCAACCGAAACACTTAATTACAATGACTAATGTATTGAACTTGGAGCTTTATTATTATTATTATTATTACTATCATTATTAGAAATAAAATTATATAATAGTTTTGTTAAATGTCATAATTACAAAGTGAAAATGAAAAATAATTGTTGCCATAAATAAGATTTTTTTTTTATTTTTTACAAAGAAAATGCATTAATTTTACAAATATACCTGAAAAAAAATAGTCATCTAAGACAGGAGAGCGGTGACGGTGATATTATCATTGTCAATTGTTAGGTTATTATAAAAATTATCTATGACAATAAACTAACTAACTGTCTTTCACTTTAGTAGTAGTAGTAGTTATAGTAGTTGTTTTTGAGTAATGACAAATGGTTGGTTGATAATGTGTTTTTCCGGACAAGAATTATGTTCCATTGTATTCCATATGTGGCATATCTGTTGTGTTGTGTATGTATGTTGTTGTTAAATTACTTACTATAAAACAATAATTCTGTACTTTGTGTATGTAGGAAGACAATTACAATCTTTCTTTCTGTTTTTATTTTTTTTACAAAAGAAAAATTCTAAAAGTTAGTTATGTTATTATGACATAGTTTAAACGAATAATCTAAAACTAACCCCGAATGGCATAATTATTGTTACGCTATATGATCATGCAGATTATTTTTCTTGGTGTTTTTATTTTTATTTAAAACTAAATTTTTAAAATGCACAATACAAGAATTATTTTTTTTTCTTTCTTTGTGGCTTTGATTGTACAACAAGATTTATTTAATAATATTATATTTGTGTCTGTACTTAAATTCTTGTGTACATATATACATATATATAGAGAGAGATAGATAGTAGTTGTAGTAGTAGCAGTGGTTGTTGTTGTTGTTAAGAGAGAATTTGACATCAATAAAGAAAATGTCAACTTTATTACCTTATGGCGCAGGCGAGATATCTGTTTGCTGACTAAAGGACGAGCGTACTGTGCAGTAGTTCGCTCCGTCTTACTTTATGGCTGTGAAACATGGCCAGTGAGAGTAGAAGATATTCGTAGGTTACTGGTTTTTGATCATAGGTGTCTTCGAAGCATTGCTCGTATATCCTGGGACAATCGAGTAAGCGATACTGTCGTTAAGAAACGAGTATTAGGTAAGGATGGCAGATCAATAGATGAAGTAGTGAAACTTCATCAGTTGAGATGGTTGGGACATTTGTTGCGAATGCCTAACCACCGACTGCCTCGTCGAGCTATATTTTGCGGTGTGGGAATAGGTTGGACGAAAGCTAGGGGCGGCCAAACCAAAACATGGCACAAATCCATGAAGTCATTGACAAGTGGACTGAGTCATGTTGGTAGATGTAGGCTACCTGGTTGGGGTCCGCGAGACGAAAGTCACCAATGGTTAGAGACCTTGAACGACATGGCTCAAAATCGTTTGCAATGGCGACGGTGCATTTATTCTTTCTGTTCTCTCAAATCCTAATCTTCTGGAATCGTCAGCACCTCTAGTTTTGTTTTTCAAACCTTATCTCACTGAATTATACTTCTTGAATAATATCTTCTAATCCACCTCTCCGATTACTTCTCCTACCTTTACTACCTCTACTACCATTGGATTTGAATTGACAATTACATCTCTGTGGTGATGTGGTATGGCAACATGAACTGATGTACTTACGTACGAAGTTCTACGTTGCATCTGACTGACTGACTGAGTTTGTGCACTAGAGTTGGTTATTATGAACTAATGAAATTGCGTAATATGGCCGTGAAAAAAGCTGATTACATGTATTCAATTGAATATTACATCTCACATATTCCATAGAATTATTGTACAGGCTATGTAAACATTTAGATTTATATTGCTGTACATAATTGTGTTAAATTCGTTGATATTCATCAGTCTTATAAACAGCTCTTGAGTTACATTTAAACGTTTATGTAGTGAGTATCTGTGTATACAATGGTCGTCATAGGGTTGGTGAGTTACACTGATCAGTAGTACTAATCTATGCAATAATTAACTGTTGGTTTATGTCATAGAATTGACTACAACCAACTGCAATAGTATTCTTGAGCGAACCAATCAGATGATTCCTCTCATTTTTTGCGCGCATTTAGAATTAGACTGAAAGGTAGCCTATGCGTTATTACTAAGTGAAAATTAACAACACTTGATTTTTAAAGTGTTTCAAATTTATACCCTAGTGTACTGGTGTTGATCAGTGAATATGACAGTTCTTAAGCTAAATTTTGCGAAAACACAGATTGTGCGTTGAGCAATTTAATGTAATTCAATGTATAGTCAAAGGTGTTTGTTGATTCAAACAAGATTCTTTTCTATTATAACTTCCGATTCTAAATCTTATCATTAAATTTTTGTGGTTTTTTAAACAGAAAGATTGAAAAGCTGATATCATTTGGTGACAAGAATTCTTTAGTGTTTTTTTAGAACTACTTGCTCATCATACACAATTTGTAGATTTAAGCATTTTTCTCTTACTATTGTGACGTATAAGAGTTAACTGTTCACATATCAAAACTAGTATTCTAGTAAAATTTTGTTGTTTTTTTCATG